AAAAACTCGTAATTGTTATTGTGCATTTTTTTTCAAAAATTTTAAAAACAACCTCTGTCTACGGGGAAAATGAATAATAAACAATTTATTTTTTTCCATTTAATCGATCTTCAATGCATGATAAATCTCACTGCTTTGGCCCCCAAATTTTAAAACTCAGTAATCTTCCTTTAACAGTAAAATTAATGTCTTATACATAGACGCTTATGACAATTTTCCAAATTAGAATTAAACTACATTACCAGTGCAGATAGTGACTCAGCCTCCTCTCAAACAGTAAAATCTCCACAAGTGTAATCTCCTCAAGCACTAACTTGAGAAGAAAATATAAAAAAATTACAGAAAAATTCATAGATAATCCACCTGTAATTGTAAACAAACTAGGGGAGGGTGGGGCAAAACGGCCCCCCTTCAATTGTCAATAACTTGTGAATGACATTGTGAAAATTCCCAGTTTCAACTTCATTTTGAAGATAATTTTTCATTCTTCAAAACGAGCTCTAACTCATCCCAATCGGATTATTGAATCGGAAAATATTGAAGATTGAAGGGGGACCGTTTTGCCCCATCCTCCCCTATATAAATTCCAGATAAATTCAATAATCTAGCTTCTTCGAACGGGGCGCCTTAAACTAACCGCGATCAATCCCAATGAAGTAAACTGCGATTTTGTTCTTCATGAAGAAACCCGAAGAATATTCATCCCCAATCCTAAAAAATTTCAGGGCGCCAACTCTTCACAAAGAGTTAACGGGTGCTTTCAACAGTTGTCCCCAGGGATTCAGAAATATCCGTTTCGAATTTATCTACATTGTCCCCTGAATGTAGAATTTTTTCGTGAGTAAATGTCAGGAAGGAAGTTTCACATCGCAGCATTTTTCACTTCACTGAGGGTTCTTTTCGGAAATGGAAGTGGTTGCGTCAGCTGACGACTGTAAAAAATCTACATTAAATATATCCGCATAAAAAGGTTCGTTCTCTCTCTCTCTCCCTCCATAAATTCCCGCTCCGAATAAACTCCTCAATATTAATCCCGAAAACTGAAACTCGAGCACTCGTTTCAATGAGAAAAAATCCTCCATTGGACTCTACAAGTTGTGAAACAACCCTCTGGAATGAAAAAAAAATTCATTCCACCTTTGATATTAGCCATAAAGCACGAGCTATAAAGCTGCAGTTGTGCCCTAGGGCTGTGTGACCACTACCGTATGTTCGCATTATTCCCACCACAATTAGCTGAATGTGAGTGGAATGCCTGTTGGCGTCTCGTAAAACTTTTACTCAAGTCTCATTCCAGTGGCATCTTACCCGCTTAATACATTTCAATGTACGAAACGAAGAGATTATCACTAATGCTGGAACAGGCTCCGTATGCATAAAATTACGACATTATTCCCTTCTTATTCCCTTCCTTTCGTTACAATTTCCATTGCTGTTATGAGGGAAAAACACGACAACATAACATAGAAAAGGAAATTCCAGAACGTTTTTCCTCTTCGATTAAACAAAAAAAAATCTATTTTCTCCTCTAGAATGGAGAATAAAACTCGAATAGTGAGTGAACCATTTTTTGTTTTCGTTCTACAAAATTCCAGTTAGCCACACACTCCCCGCGTGATCACTACAACCCACTCGACAAATTCGAGTAACAAATTTATTCATATTCAGAATTTTACCAGAAATCCATGTAATGCTTAACAAATAAGGTTTCCGACAGTTTACACAATGGCAATTATTTATTTATAAACAACGAATGCTTAAAAAAATCCTTCTGTGCAGAATGTAATTTGAATGACTCTGAATATTCATGATTTGATGACTGAAAATGGTTGAACCTGTAGTGTGGTCTGAAGAAAATAGTTTTTTGAAAATGATCAAAGCACGANTTATCACTAATGCTGGAACAGGCTCCGTATGCATAAAATTACGACATTATTCCCTTCTTATTCCCTTCCTTTCGTTACAATTTCCATTGCTGTTATGAGGGAAAAACACGACAACATAACATAGAAAAGGAAATTCCAGAACGTTTTTCCTCTTCGATTAAACAAAAAAAAATCTATTTTCTCCTCTAGAATGGAGAATAAAACTCGAATAGTGAGTGAACCATTTTTTGTTTTCGTTCTACAAAATTCCAGTTAGCCACACACTCCCCGCGTGATCACTACAACCCACTCGACAAATTCGAGTAACAAATTTATTCATATTCAGAATTTTACCAGAAATCCATGTAATGCTTAACAAATAAGGTTTCCGACAGTTTACACAATGGCAATTATTTATTTATAAACAACGAATGCTTAAAAAAATCCTTCTGTGCAGAATGTAATTTGAATGACTCTGAATATTCATGATTTGATGACTGAAAATGGTTGAACCTGTAGTGTGGTCTGAAGAAAATAGTTTTTTGAAAATGATCAAAGCACGATTTTTTCTGCCAAACATGCAGAGTGCGCCGGAATGAAAAATTTTTGTCGCAAAAATAGTTTTAGTAGTTCAAAAAAAATTGCATTCTCTGTACCCGCAAGAAATGTCATTTCTAGCACTACTCCTTCATTATTCGATACTCCCATACGTATTTTGCTCCCGAAAAATCTTTGTTTCATCCGAAACAAGGGATAGTAGTTTTTCGTTTCGGCTGTCTAATAATCACAGACAAGAAATGAACCCTTAAATGAAACATTAATAATGATATGATAGCAATCTTGTAACTTAGGGATAAAATATTCGTTGATAAATTTTCCTCTATATGAGATATTTTCATCCTGAAAAGGCACCGTCCGGTGTTAATTATCCGCCTCTTGAGCCAAATATTTCGTTGCTGTCGAAAGCAGAACAATTATTCATGTTTCAGACTTTCAAATTCCAACCAAACAAATTCTTTTTTGGCAATTTTCAACTAGCGATTTTGTTGGCCCAAACAAGACTTGTTTGACAACGTGTTTGTTTTTCTCTCAGTGCAGGATCAAGTGCAGATTGTCTGATCAAATCCCTCTCATCATCCCTCAAAACTAATCAATCCCGTTTTGACTTTAATTACTGAAGTAATTTCGTATCAATCTAGATATTCCGGCGCCATCCCTCCCCATTACCCCACAGTACGACTGAATAGTCAGTGATGATGATGTACCGGAAGATATTAACGCAGGATATTAATATTGACACGTACATTCGCCCCATAGAGAAAAGATAACAGCTGTGTATATTCCATCCGTTTGGTCCATTAGAGCCATTACATCATAATTACGATTAATATATGATAACAGTGTTACACTAGCCTTTGCCAGTCCCTTGGTTTGAAACGGAGAGCGTTGTTAATGGTGGGAAATTCGATGTCCCACCCAAATGGAATACGAGACGCCTATGAATCTGCATAACACCTGTACATTTTGCTATTTTGTGAAATTATGTACGGGAATTCGAGTTTCACGGGTTCTCAATTATTCATCTGCGTTAATGTCCATGTGGACGGTCGTGCAACTGGAAAATCATGAATTTATCGTGAATATAAAATTCTCTTTCTGCGAGGGATCTGCTGTATCGGCTCGCTGCGAGTTGACTAACTGTATGATCGACACTAGAGCATTTCCCCATTTTCAATCACAAATATTCAAACGATTCTGAATGATTCCGGTCAATGAAATCACGAACTTTTTCCTCATTTCGTTTTGAATATCGTAAAATGTACCGTTTTTCCACTGCAATGATTAGTCTTGTTTTTGAATGTCTCGGACATTCTTGGTGACTGCTGATAAACGCGATATCGAATCAATCAATTGCCGAAAAAAGAAACATTTCTTCGAAATAGAGAATCTTCTTATTGTTTTTACATAACACATGTACACTTCAATATTCTGTAAAATTCCGTACGGAAATTCGAGGTTTAAGGGTTCTGGATTATTCATCTGCGTTAATTGTCATGCGGATGGTCATGCTGCTCAAAAATCATGAATATAAAATTCTCTTTTTGTGAAGACTATGCTGTTTTGGCTTGCTGTGAGATGACAAACTCTATGATCGACATTAGAGCATTTTTCCCCTTTTCGATCATAAATATTCAAGCGATGCTGGACGATTCCGTTCAATGAAATCACGAACTTTTTCCTTATTTCGTTTAAAATATCACAAAATGGACCGTTTTTCCACTGCAATAATTAGTCTTGTTTTCGATAATGTCGAACATCGTTGGTAACTGCTGATAAACGTGATATCGAATCAATGACTTGACGAAAAAAGGAACTAATTTCTTCGAAATAGCGAATCTTCTTATCGTTTTTACATAACACCTGTGCCGTTTAATATTTTGTGCAATTATGTGAAAATCAACAAATTATCGAGAATATAAAATTCTCTCCACAACCTGCATGATCGACGCTAGAACATTTTTCCATTTCCGATCATAAATATTCAAATGATCCTGACCGATTCCGTTCAATGAAATGACGAACTTTTTCCTCATTTAGTTTAAAATATCATAAAATGTACAGTTTTTCCGCTGCAATAATTAATCTTGTTTTTGAATATCACGAACATTGTTGGTGACTGCTGATAAACGCGACATCGAATCAATCAATTGACGAGAAAGAAACTAATTTCTTCGAAATAGCGAATCTTCTTATCGTTTTTACATAACACCTGTGCCGTTTAATATTTTGTGCAATTATGTGAAAATTAACTAATTATCGAGAATATAAAATTCTCTCCACAACCTGTATGATCGACGCTAGAACATTTTTCCATTTTCGATCATAAATATTCAAACGATTCTGACCGATTCCGTTCAATGAAATGACGAACTTTTTCCTCATTTAGTTTAAAATATCATAAAATGTACAGTTTTTCCGCTGCAATAATTAATCTTGTTTTTGAATATCACGAACATTGTTGGTGACTGCTGATAAACGCGACATCGAATCAATCAATTGACGAGAAAGAAACTAATTTCTTCGAAATAGCGAATCTTCTTATCGTTTTTACATAACACCTGTGCCGTTTAATATTTTGTGCAATTATGTGAAAATTAACTAATTATCGAGAATATAAAATTCTCTCCACAACCTGTATGATCGACGCTAGAACATTTTTCCATTTCCGATCATAAATATTCAAACGATTCTGACCGATTCCGTTCAATGAAATGACGAACTTTTTCCTCATTTCGTTTAAAATATCATAAAATGTACAGTTTTTCCGCTGCAATAATTAATCTTGTTTTTGAATATCTTGAACATTGTTGGTGACTGCTGATAAACGCGATATCGAATCAATCAATTGACGAGAAAAGAGACCAGTTTCTTCGACACTGAGAATCTTCTTATCGTAAACAAATCGCACACTTTTCTAATCATGAAATGTGTGGAGATATTTTCTACGGGAATATAAAGGTTATGAACCAGAGTGATATAACACATATCAGTGCTATACAGCAGCAGTATTTTACTAAAAGGTGAGATATAAATATGGACCTTCAATCTGACATTCTGTCAGTCTCAATTTATCCTGATCCAGAAATTTGCACAGATATCGGAATGAATCTTGGTTTTACATAACTATAGTGAGCGTCATTACAACTCTATTTCTGGAGTGTCAATTAAAAGTTATTATTTTCGATCGTGTAAATTTTCAGTAAAGGGGAGATGGTAAAGTATTAATACAAAAATTCCGAGTACAGTGATGGAGCTTCCGTCACCCCACTCGGACTTTTGAATATTAATACTTAACCTCAGTTGTTTCGAATAGCCCGAAATATAACATCTGAGAATATAACATGAATGAATATCACACAGATGAAGATCATGATTTCAAAAAATCACAAAAACAATTGTTTTTGTGATCACTTAAGTGATCATCCTCAAAAAATTATAATTGGTTGGACCGTAAATTATTCATATATTTACTTTTAATAAGTTGTCTAAATGCGGAGATGAAAAAATACCAAAGTATTCATAATTTAATAATCCTTAAGGAAATTGTTATAAAACGATTCTGCCGATTTCATAAGACACAGTGAACACGAAGAGAAGATAAGATTAAAAATTACAAAGTGAACAGAGTAATCGAGGACCATACTGAAACAACTTTAACATTTGATTTGTCTTCAACGAATTTTCATTCGCGCCAAATTAAACATTACTTTTACTCTATGACTCTCTACTATACCAACTCGCAATTTTTACTATGTTCAGCAGTAAATTCGTGAACATAGTAATCCGTGAAGGCGATACCTTTTACGACCCGCATAATATCATCAATATCATATCTTGCAATGCGACTGATTACACGGAGAGAAATGTTCAGTAAAAATTACAGAACTAACAGTTCGCTCACCGATTACGGAATCAACTCAGAGAATTTAAGTGACGGTATCGTAAGTTTTCACAGGAGATTCAGGTAAAAATAACGGAACGCTCTGGAAAAATTCCGTGATTTTAGATAGAAATTACGCGACAGTTCCGTAAAATTTCCTACAACCACATTTCGCGGACTTATGGAAAAGATGCGTATTTTTTATTGAATATTTCTCTCTGTGTATCAATACATTCAGTTCTAGTAAGATTTTTAATTGTAATGAAGAAATATGAGAGTATAGTTTCATTGAAACATTTTCGATTACTTCAATGAGAAGAATTTAAGGCGATACGGTTGCAAAGCCCCATAATGAACCAAACATATTAAACGAACTTGACACAAAGTTAAGAACGTCAATGTGATATTTTATTGATAATTCGTCGCCCGATTTTTCATTGCGTATCCCAGTGTTTCATAACGGGTTAATGACTCGAAGGCGGTCTTCAGCAATTTCATGATCAACTGGGGTGTTTCCTCCCCGCTTGCTGCGCTCGCCAACCCCTTGCCAGCTCGTTGCAATACGTTGCAAATGGTCTAAAATGCTATAAAACGTGAAGAAATTATATTTTGAGGGTCATGTTCGTGTGTATGTACGTGACAACTTGTTTCTGATTCCTACACTGAGAGGAAAATAAACACGTCAAAAAAATCTTGTTTGTCCCAACAAAATCATCAGTTGAAAATTGCCAAAAAAGAATTTGTTTGGTTCGAATTTGAAAGTCTCAAACATGAATAATTGTTCTGCTTTCGATAGCAACGAAATATTTGACTCAAGAGGCGGATAATTCACACCAGACGGTGCCTTTTCAGGATGAAAATATCTCATATAGAGGATTTATCAACAAATATTTTATCCCCAAGTTACAAGATTGCTATCATATCATTATTATTGTTTCATTTAAGGGTTCATTTGTTGTCTGTGATTATTAGACAGCCCAAACGAAAAACTACAATCCCTTGTTTCGCATAAAACAACGATTTTTCGGGAGCAAAATACGTATGGGAGTATCGAATAACGAAGGAGTAGTGCTAGAAATGACATTTCTTGCGTGTACAGAGAATGCAATCTTTTTTGAACTACTAAATTTATTTCTGCGACAAAAATTTTTCATTCCGGCGCACTCTCTGCATATTCGGCACAAAAAAATCCTTTTTTGGTAATTTTCAAAAAACTTTTCTCGGCACAAGTAAGACTTGTTTGAAAACTTTGTCGTTTTTCTTTCAGTGTATAATCCCACTCTTCATTTGGCCCTTACATTTTTCCCCTCAACTTCCTATCGCCAGAAGTCGATTTGGATTTTTATAATATAACGAGATGGATAATTAATTGAATGGAAGGAAGGCCCGTCTATAATTGCCACTTCCAGGGATACCCTCATCAGGGGCTCTTTATTCCTTCAAAATAGTAAAAAATCGCAAACTCAAAACATCTGATTGCTCATTAAATCATATTCATGACAGGGAGAATCATCGAATTACTATTTTTCTCCTTCCAGATACCTCTCATTCGCTCAGAACCCCGCGAAATGTTATTAAAGGTATATTCCCTCGTGGTTCTGACCCTAGATTTAATAACATTGTTGTGCGGCATTTGGCTGTCGATAATAGTCGCCCTGTACCGCACTCTGAGGCCTCCACCTCTTAAACAATTGAACGGAGAAATTGCGATGGTTCGTAACCGTGGAGGATTGATAATTCGATATTTCAGGAAAATATCATTGGAGTTGATTATGAATGTTGATTCAAGGTGGTGGGGGTGGGACGTGGAGTTGGCCGAGAAATTGCCATTCAGCTCTGTCAGCTTGGTGTTACTGTTGCCTGTGTTGATAAGGATGGGGACATGTGCGAATCTACTGCTAGACAGGCAGCGAAAAATACTGGTCGTGCTAGGGCGTACATCTGTGATGTTACGGATAAGGAGCAGGTGAGATGATTGATATTTTCGTAACGCAATACAGGAGTTTGCATTTGAAAATGAAAAAAATGGCAATTATCGGTAGAATTAATTGATCTCGGCGTGAAATATCAAGAGAGGCGCTCTTGATACTTCATGCCGAGATAATTAATTCTATTGATAATCGCCATTTTTCAGAAATTTATTCGCAGGAATTTATCCCGAATTATTAAGGATTCGCGCCGGTGGAATTCAGTGATTTTGTCACTAATTTTTAGTGACATTAGCATTAATTTCCGGTGACATCGTCACTAATTTTACGGGACTTATCTCCAGTTTTCAGGAATCTATCATGAAATTTCCATGATGAAAATGCCTGATAATTCGTGAATAATCCTCACGAAATCTGTGGGCGTATTTCTTGTCATCCCTTGATTTCAAAATAATGATTTTTTAATTATCTCTAAAACCAGAAAGTTTAGAAAAAATTGTCAGATTTTTTTTTTCAATTTTCTAAGGCGTAGGTGGTCCCTGGAACTTTTGTTCTAAATGTATCCATTCAGAAATAATTGCAATATAGTCACTGGGAAATCTTTGAAGTCCTTTTGATTTACTTTTTTGCAGGATCATAATCTTTGTATTTTTAATAATCCCAAACTAGTAGGTTTATTTATCGGGTCAAGCGACTTTTCCCTAGTAATATTCCCCTCCAAACCTATTTTTTCAGGGATAGTTTTGAAAAAGAATGTATGAACTCTGAGAAGAACCCAGCTTCGCCCGCGCAGAGTGAGAGAAAAATGAATACCAGAATTGAGAATTCCTACAATTAAAAAAAAACACCTCAATGTTTTCGACTTTTCTAAAACACCCTAGAAGTCAAGAAAATTTGAGTGTTTTCCAAAGAAATTCATAATAATCTCTAAAATTTGAGTGTTCTAGAAAAGTCGAAAACATTGAGCTGTTTTTTTAATTGTAGAAATTCTCAAAGATCCTGGTATTCAATTTTCTCTTATTCTGCCAAAATAAATCTGAGAACTCATTTTCCTCTTCCTTCTCCCAAGAATCACAACTCCTAATTTTTCCTTGAATGCAGGTTGAAAAAACAGTAGAAACAATCTCTAAAAACCTAGGAGTAGTAACAATGGTTTTCCACTGCTGTGCAGTACCAAGTCCTCGTGTCCTGCTGCAAGGGCCCCAAGAAATTCGAAAAGCAATGGAACTATCAGTGATAAGTCATTTTTGGGTAAGCAAGTACCGAACCATCTCACCCAAATGAATTACCCCCGACCACTGTATTCAAAGTTTAATTCTGAATTCCACTCAACGAAACTCTCATTCAGCTGCTGGAGTCCGTTCTACCAGGCATGGAGCGCGCTGGTCGTGGCCACATAGTTGCGCTCTCGTCAGTCGCTGGATTCTCTGGTGGCCCAAGTAGGAGTGGCAGAGTACAACTTTCAACAGCTCAATTTGCTGTACAGGGCTTTGCCGAGTCCCTTCACGCTGAATTTAGACAATCAAATAGTAATATTGTCATAACACTCGTGCATGTCTATCCATTTATCGTGGGAGCCGAGATGGCCAAGGACATACGGTTCAGGTGAAGTTTATTTTGTGTCTTTCTTCCACTCAGATGAAATATTTTTTAAGGAAGAGTGGGGCAAAATGAAACAGTCGAAAAACGAGTGTTTGACGCGATTTCGGCAAAAAAAAAATTTTTTTCATCAAAAATTTTTTTTATTAACTTTTGTTTATTAACTTTCCTTACTCTTGGGAGTATTGACGAATTCTATTCTACTGAATGGAGAATAATGATTTTCCATTCAGAATTAGATTGTTAGAATGGAAAATTATTGAAAAGTTTTGATAGGAGCAGATTTTATCAATGGATAATTGAAAAGAAAATGAAACAGTAAAATCCAAAGTCCAGAGGAAGGCCCAGGGGGTGACCCAAAGGGGGAAAAAGGAAAATGTGATGCTGAATTTAAATCGAATGAAAAAAGAAAGGTGTAATCGGCCTAATGTAATGAATTGAATTATAAGACGAATAGAAAATTATTATTCCCATCAGTACTCCCAATAATACCAAAAGTTGATAAAAAAAATTTATTTTTTGCTTGAATTGCGTCGAATAATCGTTTTTCGGCTGTTTCATTTTGCCCCACTCTCCCCTATATGAATAATTCCATGAGAGATTAATTATACGACCTGGCTTCTCGTGGTGATATCTTACACGATTTTGATGATTAATTTGATTTTTGAGTTTTCGTTTAGAAATTACTTTTAAAAGTTCACAATTAGCTTCATAATTTTTACGTTTTCGTACTGTTGAAAATTACTGTTTAGATTTTTTCAATGAAACACCCCAAATTATCGAAATTATCGACGAATAGATCGGTTTTTCTACTGTTTAAAAAATATGAAATTTTCCTGTTATTTCATTACATAAAGCGACATTTCTGGCAACAGAATCGAATGTTGACAGTCTGGACCTTGGAAATTTTCTATTTTTTAAGAAAGATGTAGATTCTCCTTAGAATTTCCGGATTCAGTTCTCGTTAACAGTTTTTTTTCCAATTTTCCAAAATCGTGGGAGACATTCTGTTCTCGTGAAAAATGGTTGCATCACTGAACTGTCGATGAAAGGGGGAAATTTTTTCTTGTAAAATGCAATTCTTCCTCTTTGAACATTAAAAAATCGTCAAAAGTATCCATTTTGCCCCCATCTTCCCCTATAACAGTGGACTCTCGTTTTGTTACAGGATACCTAGTTATTTTGGAACAATGCCAGCTACTGAAGCAGCTAAAAAAATTTTGGACGGTGTACGCCGGAATTATGCGGAATTCAGTGTGCCAGGATATCTATTATATCTTGGACACTTACTCAGGTAACTAAAAATTAAAAAAAGAATAACTTTTTCTATTGGTACAGTAAGAGACTAATATTCTTTTCCCAAAAGGATTCTCCCCAAAAAGGCGTCTTTCATGCTGCGTGACCTACTGGACACTGGAGTAGATTTTGGATGATCTCAGAACCACCAACATTTTTCAAGCATTAACAACATCGAAACCCAACGCAAAGCAAGACTGACAGTCCACCTCCAGTGTCGCACAGAGGATTTACTGTGATCAACCACAATAATTCCAATCCTTGGATTAACATCTGTAATATCTATCATCGAAATACAGCACAATATTTTGTTATAAATTTTATCAATAGAAAAATATAGAAAACAACGTTTGTTATGTACAAATCATTGTTCAAGTTCACTGCTTTTATTGATCATTCATCAGTAATTAATCTAAGCCTGGGGGGGCTGGTTCTGATAAATCAACTTCCATGCTTTCTATTTTTTGTTCTGGTGGATAGTCTCCCGGTGGAGCAATATCAAAATCGTCGTGCATTTCCATTGTTTGTTTTCCCTGGATTACGTCCATTATCGATTGTGGAACATGTGCCTTCTGAAAAATCAATCATTAATTTTGAATTAATAACAATACTCTAATGAGAAACAAAAAAGAAATTTAAAGGGAGACTACTGCGAGTTATAAAACTCCCAGGATATCAAAGTGAGATCTGTCGCACGTTAAATATCCATTATATATCTATAAAAACGAAGAATGCGTGTAAAAATAATACTTGTTTACAGCTGTTTAGCCCCGCAAACGCAGGTTAATTTTTTCAATTTTTCTAAAAATCTGTAGAATTCCAATTATGAATTCCTTTTTTAAACTTGATCTCTAGATAGCCAATTTCACTGTTTTATTCAGTAAATGCATTCCCCAAATATAACATTTTTAATTAGTTCTAGATATAAAAAACTTCAAGAAATAAAAAAACACAAGATTACGTAAACAAAAACAACAATAGCTACTTAAAGATCGAAATTGAAAGAAGTAATTCGTAATTGTTATGCTGCAGATTTTTTAAAAAGTTCAGAAAAAAACCTCTGTACCTCAACATTCTTCTTGTTTATACATCTATGATCGACCTTTACCGTATGAAACATCTCATCTTCACTAACTATTCAGAACATTTTGCTATCCAATGCAATTCCATCCAATTAATTCAAAATAAAAACCTCCCCCTTCAATATAAAAAAAACAATACTTGATTCTCCGCGAATGCCTCCACATGTGCCCGCAGTGGTCCCTTCAACCCCGGTGCCATATTGAGCGCCTCCCCGAGTTGTTGCGGTGGTAACTGCAGTATCACAGCAAAACTCTGTGGCTGAGTGCGTTCACAACATTTAACAAAGCCCTCCCACACCTTCGGCTGTTTCCAAACTTGCTTAAGAATTAATCTCTGCAAAATATTCATGACAAATCCACTGAGTCTCGGATACAACGACAAACTCTGTATGACTGTTCTCATCAACAGCGTAGGGAGTGGATTGAGCTCCATAAGATGCTGCATCACCACAGCCAACGTTTCCTGAGTGTAAACTTGTTTCTCAGCGAAGCACAACGACGTAGCTTTGATAACAGTCTTCAGCTCAGCTCTACTAGGATCAATTGTGTGAAGAGCGATGAGCAACTCAGCTGGAGTCACTGGTGACGTATGAGGAATGCCACTGTCATTGTTGTGAGTCCCAAGAAGTCGATTGAACACTTCCTTCACAACAATGGGATTGAGTTTAATGAGTTTCGGTAGTGCTGCCATTACTTCCTTCTTCGAGAGGCCATTTAGCACTGGAATGAGGAATCTCACATCAGACACTCGTGTCTGATACAGATCCCTGACTTTAGCAACGAGCTCAGCACTCGGTGGTGCTTTTTCAGTTAAAATATGGATAATCCTGGTGACAAGTGTCTCAGCCCCCTTAGGGCACATCTCCACGAGCTTCAGTAACTGAGGACTGGCCATCCCTAGGGATCTCACTGGACCCTCGACCAGCCTCAGGACTATCCTCTTCACATCAGCCCCCATCGACGAGTAAACCTTCGCCAACTCGTGTATCAGATCCTGATGTTTACCCAGAACAGCAAGATAAAGTTCTAAACAAGCTCTGGTAGTTGACTCCGACCAGTGCTCCTCCACCTGCTCCCTTCCCCTGTCCTTTCCAAAGACAATCTCCGGTGGATTCTGCAATCTCAAGAACCCCAGATAAAGAACCGTGTACTCCTCAATGAATTTCGTTAATTCAGGCCTGCCATACAGCTCCACAACCAGACTGATGGCCATATCCCTGATGATTTTCTTCTCATGTCCAGTGTGACACAGGAGAACATTCAAGAAGGTCAGTCCCTTGGTGGGTCTCATGATGACGAGATCCTTGAGAAGAGTGAGAGGAGTGAGATCCCATTTTTCATCTGAAGAGACACTCTTCAAGGCCTCAACGGCATCCTCCGTTATCAGAGGAGCCTCCAGGTACAATCGAGCTAGCAGAGAGTCTCGATCCTTCCCCTGAATTCCATCGATCGCAGAGATGAGGGTGCACAGTAGGAAGTTGTAGGCTTGATGGGGTGCCTCATGGGGTTTTGTCCCCAGAATTGTCCTCCTCTGGAAGCCCTGCAGCAGAGCGTACTCTTCGTAAAGCCAACCCAGTGCCAAGTCCAATCGTGTTCTCATTTCCTCAGTTATGTAACGCAGAACAGCCTCTTTGATGTAAGGATTGAAGGTGGCAGCAAGAGTCGTGAGGATTTTCGATCTGACTCCAGCAACTCCACCGAACACTGCACTCTTCTCGGCTTTCAGAATCCTGTTGACTGCCATCAGCAGCATCTTCTCTTTGGTCTCTTTGGCCAGGGGCTTTGTCACATCATTCAACTTCAAGACCTTCACTCTGTTCCTAGCTTTGGCGAGATTCTTCTCAGCTTCTAGGGTGGCTTTGGCTTCCTTCTCCTTCTCCCTGTCTTTCTCTCGTTTTCTCTCGCGTTTGGCCTCTGCCACTGTTATCGTTGGATTCTTGATCAAATCCTCCATAACAATGTCCTCTTCCTTGAGATTTTTATTAGTCTTTTTAGCTTTAGCTTGTTTTATCTGAACAGCCAGGAGTTTGGAAATTGTTTGACGCTGGAGGCTCACGTCTGTCGTTGCATTGGGTACGTATTCACGCTGGAATATCGAGGTCATGGTGTCTGGCACCCATGCCATGCTGTCCATCACCAGTTCTGCGGCTATCTCAACGCTCAGTCTCTCAGCAATGAAGGATTCTGATAGTTCTATCAGCTCGGGGGGCTTCACGGGAGGGACTGGCGCTGGTGGGGGCTCTGGTTCCTCAGGGGGAGGAATTATGGGATCTAGTTTTAGGCGTTTCGAGGCATTGCTGATGGACGACTCCTGCTGGCGTTTCTTCATCCTTCGAATGTCCTCAGCTTTGGGGTAGACCTTCAGGATCTCCTGCTCTTTGGCTCCCAGTTGGGTCAGTTGTTTGGCTATTGTGGGGGCAAACTCGATGCTCGCTGGGTGCTTCATCAGGTTCAACAGGGTTAACTTCAAGTGCTTCTGGACACTCGTCACCTGCGAGTCTGATAACGTCGGGGGCAGGTCGTTCTGGAGGCGCTGGAGGGCTGTGATGACGTTGGACATGAATTGGGGACGTGTCTTGGCAATCAGCGCGAGACTTCCCATGCACGTCATCAGGTTCAAACTGCTGACGTGGGGGGAACCGTGGAATTTTATCAGCAGGTCCATCACGCGGTTCGCCTCCTCCTCCAGTTTTCTTCGGCGTGCTATCTTCAGGGTCAGGGGGATGTCCTCCAGGGAGAAGTCGTCTGGCTTTCTGGGCGTGTCTGGGTCGGGGTACGTCTGCAGGAGAACCACTCCCTCCAGGAGTTTAACTGCCTGGGTTCGGATTCCGTCGTTGTCACTGTCTATCATGCTGATTATCTGGATCTTCAGGTCACTCAAGTGGCCCCAGGCTGCCTCCATCTCCGGGGTGACGATAGCAGCACTCGAGACCCACTTCAAGACTGCTCGCAGGATCTTACCGCAGGTTCGCAGGGCACGTTTTGTCACCACTGGGGCATCGTCTGAGACTAGCCTCGACAGGGTCAGCAGCATTCGGGGAATTATCTCCGGGCTTTTGTCACCAGCTTCCTCGATGAAGCCGCAGACTGTCTTTCGCACTTCGGAGTTCTTGTCAAGGGAGAACTGGAGCACCTCCTCCAGGTAGCAATCCAACAGGTCGGGGTCCTTCTTTATGAGGATCTCCTGGAGTTTAGACAGGTTGGTTATTTTTAGGGTGTCGTTGGATGTCATCGAGGCCTCGTTCAACCAGTCCACGACCTGCAAGTTTAATTAGTTTTTTGGGTGATTGTCAAGGGTGAGTGGGGATTTTTAGGTTATTTGTGTTACCATGTCGCTTGAGCCTCTCTCCGGCTCGATCTTCTTGTTCAGGCGGGGATCCATTGTTAATTAGTGCTTGCTAGTGGGCATTCATGGGGATTATAATCTCCGCTTTGGAGAAATTGGACGATGGGAGTGAGAGATGTGAGGCGAGACAAAAGTCAAATTTGTCGTTTACCGGTACTTTATGTGTTGAAGGAATGGCTGGGGGAGGGGATAGTTTCCAGTGGCGTTGAAGGTGGGAGTTTACAACGCAGCGAATGTAGTTGTTCGCTGAAATGAAGGGGGGGGAGAGCTCTGGTGCAGCAACACGCTGAGAAATGGCGGGATTATTCTCATTTCAAGCGGAATTACAAACTGAATCGAAGTAGAGCAATAGGTTGTCAGCCGGAAACTATTATTTATAAACAAATGACGATGGTAAGTCACTTGTAATTCGTTGGCAGATGAATGTAATGCATTTTTCAGTGTTTAAGGATTATCTAATTGATTGGTAATTTAAAAAAATGACGACGTTGTAATTAAGAATCAACATTCACTTGACGAAGAAATTCGATTTTGTTGGAAGCAGAGTTTCTCCTTCTAAACATTCAAGATCTGACACTTCGGCCCCAGGTGAAAAAAAACATTTTTTATTTCTGCATTTCTGGGGCCTCCAAGTGTTTCATTGGCATCAGAATCGTTAGCAGATGCAGAATCAACCTTCAGTTGGCGAAAAAATTCTATTTTGCCGAAAGTTAACTTTCCTCCTCGAAAAATCCAAGATCTGACCCTTGATCCAGGTGAAAAAAAAAGTTTTTGAATATGAAATATCCAAAAAAATCATACAACTCCTACTGGAGTATGTTTCTAGGGACTCCCCCAATCCCATAAAATGTTAGCAACCCCCTCGGAAACACACAAACATACTTGAGGCTAGTAGAAGGGTAAAAACTTATTTTTTTGCGATTTTTACACGAAACCATTTTTTTTCTACATGCAAAATGCAAAAAAAACAAACCACTTCTATTGGCGCCTTAAATTTTTCTATGAAATGTAAGAATTTTTTTACATAAACAGTAAACTTTATAACCCAGTTGCATCGAATAAAACTCTTCGTTCAAAATTGTTCTATTCATTTCGAAATTTTAGTTGGAAATTAATAAACTGCATTTACTTCAATGAAAATGTTTTAACTATATTTCCATCCGTTCCTAATAAATCTTCAATCAAAATCGAATAAATGGTTTATTTGATCCAAATAAAATTTGTTTAATGCAAAAGAACTGTTTTTCTGGATTCATCGAATAATTAACGGATATTGATTTGGAGAATAGAATGATCATCATTCACAAAAAAATCAATCAACGTTTGAATTGCATTCAAAAACAGAAAGGGGAGGGGACAATTCCCATTGGTGCGTGAGAGTTTACAACGCAGCGACTACAGCTATTCTGCTCCGAAATGTTTTCCTCCCCTATTCGGAGAAAAAGTTCTCACTGGTTATCGTAAAATGGGGTGATGTGGCTCGCGCGAAGTATCGTGGTGATAATGAACGGTGAAAGGCCAGGATATCGTGATAAAAAACGTCGATGATTGGATAATTCTACGCATGAATGTCAAGTGATAATAACTCGAGCATTTTGTCTGCAAACTAGACGTATGTACCGTTGTACTGTACTGTTTATATTCACATAGAATATAAACAGTGTCAGCTGTGGATTCGTTTGTTGTTTTTTTTCATTCGTTTGTAAACAGCTGAGGTGATAGTGAACGTTCCATGGATGAAATCATTTAATAGAAAAATCGAGCAATTTCGCTAAGAAATTCTCTTAAATTTTTATTGGAACTCTATAGGAATTCTCTCGAAGTTTTATTAGAATTCGATCAAAAAATGGTATTCGTTTTTTGCTCCATTTCTACAAAAAATTGTGCAATTTTACCGTGTCATTTTGTTAAAAGATATTTGATAGAAAAAAGGCCATAAATTTTTATTTTTCTCGTAATAAAATCAAAGAAAAAAAAGTGGGAAAATGCTTTTTATCGTAGAAAAAAATCCCAACAGGATAAGTTACACAGAAAAATCAACATCTGTCGACATTTTCTATAAATAAATAAATATTACAGATATTACAGATATTTGTTTTCAATATCTATTTAAAAACGCCGGGCCTTTCAACTGTAATAAAATTTGCCCAAAAAACAAATGGAATTTCAATAGAAATTCAATGTAATTTTTTTAGATAAAGCGCTACGTTTTTCTACTAATTTTTTCCATACGTGTCAGTATCTGGTGGTCATCAAGAGGCCAGAGTGGGTCCAATTAAGATTAGAGCTATGATTTCGAGCTTCTACGAGAGAATCGTCGGTGGATCACCTCCACCTGAAGTGAATAAACCAAAAATTCTCTGTGTTGGACTGACTTGTCTCGACATTGTGCAGACAGTGAACACTTTTCCTGTTGAGGACTCTGACACCAGGTAAAATGAGGAAACTCCAAGATGTTGGAGCTCTGGAGAATTCAGTTTCACATTCACAATTTTTTGATTGTTTTGACAGGTGTTCGGACTACAGGTGGCAACTCGGTGGTAACTCAGCGAATAACTGCACTGTTCTATCTCTATTGGGCAGCTCAACTGAATTTTTCGGAGTACTGGGGAATGACTATCAATTTCACTTTCTGCAGGATGATATGCGCAAGCATGGAATTGATTTCTCACATTGCCCCAGGGTCCAGGGCATTGGGTGCCCCACGTCTACAGTTATTCTTTGCTCTAACTCTGGATCACGTACTATTGTGCATTACAACCCTAATTTTCCGGAGTTGACGCTGGAGGACTTTGAGAAACTGAATTTGGAGGATTATAGCTGGATTAATTTTGAGGTATTGGTGGAAAATTTCATTAGTTCCACTATTTGAATGGCAAAATTTCAATGGGTGCAATTAAAAAATTAAAAATTTCATGACTATGAATCATAAGGGGGAGTGGGATAAGCGAGGAATGTTCAACTTTTTGAGAATCTGATCTTTCATTAAATTTTTGGATGAAATATATCATTTTTTTTCTCACACAGACAGTTAAAGTTTTCGTAATGAGTCTAAACTGAACTTAATTGATGAATATGCCCCTGAGTTATGGACATTTTCTAAGGAATGAGCAATTGAATAAGTAAAGTCTTCACACAGAGAAATGACGCATTAAAATAAAATGAAAGTTTTTCTTAATTTTCTTTCTATTCATTTCAATACCATTTTCATTGAGAATTAATAAACCGTCTTTGCTTGAATGGAAATGTTGTGATCATATGAAATGAATATCATTCATTCCAAATAAATCCTTTATTGCAATCGTAAATGGTTTATTTGATCCAAATAACGTTCATTTAAAATTAAATTAGTTAGTTAAAATGAATCAGTGATCTGGGATCATCAACAACAACAAAATCAATGTTCCCAGGGTAGGAATATACCGAGAGTCCTAACGATGATGCAACACGTAGAGACTTACAACGATTCCCTGAAGGAGGGAGAATCAGACCGTTCCCCCGTGACAATCAGTGTTGAGCTAGAAAAAATGAATTCAGAATTGCTAGATCTCCTACCTTACGCTGACGTTGCGTTCGTCTCCAAGGACTTTGCTCGCAGTCGAGGGCATGACAACATGAGCGAAGCCATTCGAAGTATCGCTCAAGATATCAAATCTGGGTAAATAGTACTCTTCCCAAATCTTCCCAACATTATTGTTAACATTTTTCTATTCTATTTTCCTAGTGCTACAATAGTTTGTGCCTGGGGCGACAGAGGAGCCATGGCAAGAACTCGTGATGGCACTATCGTTCAGTCTCCAGCTTTTCCTCCTACAAAAATCGTTGACACTCTGGGAGCTGGGGATACATTCGTGGCAGCAACTATTCACTATTTAAATAACATTAAACTTCGGAGTGAAAAGAGGGAAAATAAATCCGACATTTGTGATCAAGTGAATCAATCAGATGGGGGAGTAACGAGAAACCAAAACATCGAGAGTCTCCAGTGCAGCAAAACTGCGTTCATAGATCAATCAGCCCTGCAATCAGCCATCACATTTGGCTGCCAGACTGCTGGCATCAAAATAGGATTCAGTGGATATGAGGACTTACGACTGAAGAAAAACACCAGCAACATGTAGCCTCTGATAATTTGGTTTTAGTTATTGTATTGGGGAATTTCATGGGTGAAAATTAACTTCCGGAGTGGTTTGTTGCGTTTACATCATCTAAATTTATATATTTTTTGATACAATAAATTTTATAATATTATTAAAAAATAAGAAAATTCAACAGATGTACCTCAACGCTCTCTTAATAAAAATCTTACATGTTTGTGCAGGCACTTCAAGCTACGTACATTTTTAATGTGGTTTATTTATTTACAACAAGGCACACTTGAATACTCAACATTCGGTGAGCAAGAAGATATGTATGCGCAATATCTACCCTCTTGCATACAAATTTGGGAATCACAATCCTTCCATTGCTCACAGGGTTATTCATAAACGACGAATTTTTTTTTATCGTGTGTGGACGAGAAATTTTTGCATGAATAATTTTTTACTGTAAGATGTTTTATGTGTGGGCTTCAAGGCCGCTGTCCAAAAATGTTTTGATGAGGCTCCAAACTTTCTCAGGGAAATTCCTGATGAAACAGAAAAATGGATGACACATGAGTTAACGAGATTGTAATCTTGGGGCTGACGGGGCTGGGCTTCGCATTGTTCAATTTAATTTCATGTTGTGAAATATTCGGGAGGAACGGAGTTATCATGATTATTTTGGGGTTGCGCATAATAAAGAAGGAACATGACATCTCACAATCTAGGCATTCCCTCGACTTTCCTGGCCTGAAAATAGCTATGGTAATTCTCTATTGAATGGTTTTATAGTCCCGAAAATTTTAAAAATAGGGATAACTGCAGAATTCTGGAAGAAGTCAGACAAGAATTGAAGAATAAAAAATAAATGGACGTGTAACAAAACTATGCATTTGCATAGTTAAATATTCGACGTCAACTCCACGCGAGTAAAAAACCCCACAGCACTCACCCTGAAATATACTATCTAAACAATCAATTTTCCATCGTAAAAATCATTTGTTCGGAATTGAAACAAATTTATTCATATTCAAGTTGAACCAATTTCAATTATTTATTTATAAACAACGAATGTTCAAAAAAATGATAATTCTGTGCGCAATATAATTTGAATGGCGCTGAATATTCACGATTTTTTTCAAATTTTTCTCACCCAATTTCATTGACAAATTTGATGATTGAAGATGGTTGAATCTATAGTGGCGTCTGTACCAAACTATAAAAGATACTTGGATATCCTTAAAGCATCGAACGCATGAAAATAATACACTAATTGTTTACCAATGGTAAAGTTCTTTAAGAGCTCATGCATTCCTCTCAATAACTAAAGGCTAATAATAAGAGTGATTTACCTGAAAGTCGTATTAACCGTCAGCCAATGTCGTGGAATCGATGCCTCCGCGTAATTTCGCCTCTGGGCGGTCACAATCTGCGCCGCAGCTTCCTTCGGTGGAACGAGGGCCATCAAACTTGGAAATCTGGATGATTCAACAATTGTTGATAAACCGTTTGTGAAACCACCGCAGTTCTCATTTTATCGTAATAAATTCTTCAAAGTTGAAAATTCGCGATGGACTTGGATTTTTATAATTTTCATGCATTCTTATCGTCACAGATTCAAATTCAAACTGGGTTGTGGCATAAAATTGTTTCACTGGATAGAATTATAAACAAAAGTTCGATGGAAAATAGTGGATATTATGTATCTTTAAATTTAAAAAATGTCTCTTTTTTTCATCACATTTTTATATCCACCCGTAAAAAATTTCCGCCACGGGAGATAAAATAAAGGACCTTTACTCACGTGCTTATTCTGCACGTGAACACAACTCCTTTATTTTCCCCCCCTAGATAGGGAATATTCTATTCATCCAAATGTTCATTTCTCATTTGACTCCTTAGAAATGAAAAAATAGTATATTTCGTAACGAGTGCAAAAAAGTGTTTTTTGGCGAGTGGGAGGTTTATATCACGAGCCGAAGGCTAGTGATATAATCCCACGAGGTAAAAAACATTTTTTCACGAGTTACGAACAATATTTTTCATCACAATGTGGCGGAAATTGGACTTTTAGGCACGCGGAGCGTGCCGAAAAGTTCACTTTTCGTCACAGCGTGATGAAAAAGTTTATATGAATAATCGTCATTCTATCAATGACTACGAAATTTTTATCAAAAACTGAAATTTCACATAGTCATTACCTAATCTTTGGTTTTTTACACAATCCAGTATCGACCATATAAGGATAAATAGTAGTGAATCTGATGTTGGATCCTCGACTCCCCGTCGTATTCTTAATTTCATCAGTGAGGGCCTCCATCAGACCTATAAAAACAATTCCCTTGAAGTGTGTCAATTGTGTTTGGTAAAAATAAAAAAAAATCTCTTCTCCTTTACTAGTAGAGAAAAATGGATTAATCAATTCTGAGAGAAAAAATTAGTTCTGCCGAAGAATTATACGTTCCCCTAAAGAGATCTTTTGTCGTGGTGAATCAATTTACTTGTAGACAAAAAAGAAAGTTTCCACCAAAACACGATAACTTTCGCAGTAGTAATTGTTCTCGCGAGACATTTTGTCTTGCAGGTAAATACACCCGTTCTGCAGAGAATTATATAAGACTCCAGTTTTATTAAGTGAATGTTATTGAGTGGTGTATATCTTTGTCGAATAAACACTTATAATTTCCATGGCACAAATGGTAATTCCAAGAGGAAACTACAATTTTCTTGCCGAAAACAGTGTTTTTGGCAAAACTAAATAATTTAGAGGGGACAATTTTTTTGGGGAACAAATATTCCTTCCTCGTAAATGTATTCTTTCTATGGTATAAATCTTTGGTGTTCTCGCAGATCAAATGATTGTCGTACAATCATTATATTTTTTCCTGACACTAGGAAAAGAGCGCGCTTCGTGCGCGCACAATTGGCGAGTGATTTATATTGTTGAACTCGGGAGATCGTGATCCTCAAATTTACCACCACTTTTCCCAATCCCCACTACAATCCTTGTCGCCCACCTCTGACACTCAGGGCTACAATCTCCTCAGTCCGACAGTACATATTATTCTTTATCATTCTGTATTCATTTGTTCATCAATAGGGAGTTGATGTGCGCTTTTGTTATGTTTAGATTTGAGAAAAAATCTGAAAAATGATCTTTAAAAATTTCCAGGATTAAAAATTCATATTGTAAAGTTTATGAAAATAGCTACTTTAATAATGAAATCGGTCTCAGCTTCCAAGTGTGAAAATGTAAGCTTTTGTGAAGGACTGTCGACCAATTTTCTCCTGATGACAACAATTCAAATTCTTCTAGGGATATTTCTGATTATCACGACAAAAATTTAATTTTTGTGAAAGATATTAAATTTCTTTCCATCAAATATTCTCACGTGGAACATATAGTTTTTCGGTAGAACAAATTTTTCTTTCAGTATATAAGGCTCATTTTGTTTATTTAATTTCTCGATATAAGATCTAGAATTTTGAAATCGTCATCAATGTTCACCATCTTTATGATCCTATTGATAAAAAAATCTTTAGTGAATACTGTAAAATGTTATTTTTCGAGGATACACGTGACACCCTTAACCCTCGATCACTCGCTTAATGAGCGCGGCGCCGCCCGTTTTCATCTTTTTATATTTTAGCACGTTCGTCGATACTTAAAAATTCTGAAAAAATTAGAGTTCCTAGTTCAATCCTGTTATTAACCGTTGGAGTTAGCCGTTTGTTTCTCGGCAAATTTGTTTAGCTAAAAAAAAAGAAAAGAAACGTCAAACTGACAGAAAAGCGGCGCCGCGCCGCCTCATGCGAGTGAGTCGCTGTCGACCCCTCGAGCGCCAGTGTTGCTACATTCACTGCCGCACTTGAAATCCGTACATAGCGGTAAGCGCCCACGTGGCAAATGCGCGCTCGGTTTGACCCAGCGGCGCTGCGCTAACCGTGCGGCGGATGGAGACTGGCGGTCGAGCGCGAGCGATCGAGGATTGGACTCTGTTGGTCGCGCTATGAGCGCCGCGCCGCACATTTTCCGATTTTTTAAATTACACTGCAGTGAAGCCCCAGAAAAATTTAAAAAAAATTTACATCTCATTTTGAAGTGTCTAGAAGCCCTATCAATGAAAATATCCGCGAAAAATATCCTAAGTTGTTAGATTTTCAAATTTTTATTCCGAAACTCTGGACCGTGTACCGTGATAAGGCGTTTAGAAAAACATGGCAACTTTGAGCTTGAATATTTAATTAAGGGTAACATTGCACATGAAGATCTCGCGGGACTTCTTCAAGTATACGATCACTCTTCAAGTATACACTCTTGATTTTATTCAGATTATTCCTAGATCTTTCAAATTTATCATTTCGAATTGATAAATTTATCAAATTTATCGTGTCGATTTATGCTGGTGCAGCGCGGCGCTTACGACGCGACCAATGGAGTGTTGAACATCAAACTTGATATATTAAATGTCTAGCCATTAAGAGTAAATGAATGCAGCTGACCTCTAACAGCAAATTTGCTGGCGCAATAGGGGACCACATTCGTGAGGCCAACGATGCCAGCTATTGAGGACAAGGCCACGACGTGACCGTGATTATTGGTGATCATCGTGGGCAGAAATGCTTGCAGCATCTGTTTGTGAATCAATGTACAATGGAAAGTTGAATGAACTCATGGGCATTTAGTCTGGTGAGACAAAATAAAACTAGTGAAAGTTTGTTATTTGTTTTACCCAGAAGTGCGCCATCACGTTTACATCGAATAGCTTCTGTATTACTTCGGGTGTGTGATCCATAAATGGTTGGCAGGGCATTATACCTGCATTGTTCACGAGAATCGTGACATTTCCAACTTCTGCTTTTACTCTTTCGGCTACTTTGAATACCTCTTCGCGATTCGTTACGTCACATCTGCATGCATAAATATTTTTTAAATGACAAATTGCTCGCGAATTGCATCTAATAACTGAGGTAATGAAATCGAAAACATTAATTAACAAACGCTATGCTCCACCCACAAATAATTTGCAGAAAAACCTAGCGAATTGAAGAATTTTGCAGCTTTACTGCGCATTTTTTATAGATAACTTCCAACAGAAATTATTGTCTACAAAAATCAATGGAATTTGATCTTTTTGCACGATTTTTTCTATTGAGGCATTTTTTATAGGAATTAGTCAACATGAATTTTCAAAAAATTTCCGCTGTATTTTGCTTCTCTTGTCATGAAAAAAATCAAACAAAAAAATTTGAAAATTTGGGCCGAGTAATTTCATCTCAAACCGCAAGCACTCACGAAAATTTTGAGTTGAATTGAACTGCTGAACTTTAGACATTTAGTTTTCATTCCCCAGTTTTTTTTTACGTTTAGAGTTTTCAATAGTTGATTTATCATTTTTAGCATGAATTCCATAAGGGCCCATGCATGACAAACAATATGTTAATTTTATTTTTTCAAAGCTGCTGCCGTTATTTTTCACTAGTCATTCGACAACAAAATTTCATATATTTTTGCATTTTTTTCGAACGTAAAAGCATGTCTTCCCAGAAAATGATAAACATCTTCGATGTCCTCTGCAAACGCGATATCAAACTGCGAGAAATTTCTGGAGATAATTATGACGCATTATTTTACGTACTTATATGCATGCGCCTTAGTAGCACCAAGCTTCATGACTTCGTCAACGGTTTCTCTGTTCCCCTGGGGATCGAGATCCCAGCACACTACAGTACCACCCAGAGATGCATATTTCAATGCCAATTCACGTCCAATTCCGTGACCAGCGCCGGTAATCTGCATAGACGGAATACATTCATAAAAAACGAGGATACATACGCTTATTAATTATAATTCCATCGGTTAAGTTTTTTCTTATTCATGAATTTTACGATGCACGTGGACCGACGGATTAACATAATATTAGTGCTATTAATGACTCATTGTAGTTGTGCACGTTGAGAGGGACTGCAGGTTCTACAAGTTTGGATAAGGGGAATGCCGATTATGCAACAGTGGTTTTACTGTGGAATTTCAATGGGTTTTATCACCGATGATGCAAAATAATATGAGGCAATTCAACTTGAATTTTAGTTTCTACTACATATGTTTGGGTCTGAACGAGACAGAAAATTTTTCGTTAAGGGGTGACCTGACGGACTGCCTTTGTCTATATCAAATTCTAGAATTCTGTTTTCTCCTACAATTATTAATTTTTATCTATGAAACTACTTTATCGACTTCATCATTGCATTGTTGAACTAATGAAGTAGTTTCAGGGATGAAAAGAAAAATAATTGCAGGAGAAAAGAGTATTCTAAAAGTTCATACAGACAGGGGTTCCGTTTCCGCTTAAGGGGTAACTCTTAATTTTCCAAATTTTCGAACAAATTTCCTGCTGAAAGTTATCGATATTTTAAAAAATCGAAGCACATTAATCTCCAGGAGGTGCTTTGGGTTGAAAAAATATTAATCATTTTGAGCAGGAAATTTGTTCAAAATATTCGAGAAAACGATGGCCTTCTGTTACCCGTTAAGGTGAGCGATAGGTACAACAAAGGTGTCAAAATAATTCTGTAATTCTTGCATTCACAATATTTGCAAAACGCCGGTTCGGCAATAAAATCTTCACTCGTCCTTCTAAAACACTCGAAATTCCTTGAACTTTGAGTGACATTTGCATATCGAGTTTCAAGATTTTGGACTAGTGTTAAGATGGAATTGGGGTTTTGCGTGATTGTTTTTTATTCTGATAAATAATGAAAAATCAATCAGTTATGGGCAATTGGAAACGTTTGCATTATGATGTTATAATGCAGAAGTATCTTTAACTCGTTGCTTCACGAATGTCGCGAATCGTCTCGGTGTGAGAGGAGTGGGGGGTTTGTCCGGGTATTGGTGCGCCATAAGAGAAGCACGGTGGCGCACGTACACCAGTACAAAACGTTGAAAGGTGGGGAACCGCGAAAGGAAGCATGGGCTAAGGATATTCAAGTACTTTGGCTATTTTTTCTCTTGTGAAATGCTTTTCTACTTTTGTAGTCGAATATCGGAGCTGTCATTTGAGCCCCATTGGACCCCAACTTTCCGCATATTTTACAATGAATTTATTGAAGCGTTAGAAAACATTTTAAAAATCTGAAAGAGATTAGAAAGTTTACTTTTGGAGGAAGATTGAAGAAATCATTTAAAAATTTCAATTTTTCAAAGTTACGAGCATTTTCTATAAATAGTTTATAAACAATAAATTTTCTACCATAAAAATCATTTGTTCGGAATCGTAATAAATTTATTCATATTCAGAGTTTCACCAGAAATCGATTTCACGCCTTAAAAAATGAGGTTTTCGAACGTTTAAACAATTTTCATGATTTATTAATAAACAATGAATGTTTAAAAAAAAGATAATTCTTTACAAAATGTAATTAAAATAGCGCTGGATATTCATGATTTTTTTCAATTTTTTTTCGAGCAATTTAATTGACAAATTTGATGATTGAAAATGGTTGAAACTAGAGTCGTATCTCATAATTTTATTTGATAAACGAATTTCTGTGGTTTACGATGAAAAATTGAGATCATTAGGCTTTCCCGTACTCAACAAACGTTCAAATTTCAGTTTTAATGATGACTTTCATATGAATTTTGAATGAAAATTCTATAACTTTGAAATAATTTCAGTAGCGAAGTGGTAAAACGGTATAAGTAAATTTTGACTATTGACCAGTTTTCAATCAATATCTCGGAATGTAAGGGAGATAGCAATTTTTGTTATAATCTTTTTTGTGGAGCCGATTGAGTGCTACAACAAATGTAATTAAGAAAATTTCGCTATCTTCCTTAAATTCGGAAATATTCCTCAAAAACTCAACTGGGAGATAAGTCGACTTAAACCCTTTTACCACTTCGTTACTAATTTCATCTCGTCGACAAAAAATTTGAATTTCCACAGCACCAAAATCTCTTGAAATTCCACATCAATGAGTAATTGAACAAGAAAAAAAAATATCTTCAAATTGAAGATGAAACTCCCCGGTGCCCAACTTTAGCCCCAGAAAACATCTAAATTCGTACCAGAACTATTTCTCCAGCAACACTCTTCTCCTCCACCGGCACGAACAGCCGGTACGTACTCTCCAAAATACTGAAGAATATTTTGACAAACAGCAGACACACGTCCGCGAGAATCAGCACACCGTCGTATGCATTCACCATAATTGACTAGTTTTCTATCTGAAACAAGAAAAAAAACACTAAAATACTCCAGTGCTATAAAAACTCGTCAATTCCCGGCGATTCCAGTCGAGTCAATTTATCGCCCCAATTCTTCCATTCATTAAAAAGGGTATAGTTGGCACTATTAGAAGTTTGCAACTGTTTCGTAATGTCTTTATATCGATCAATGGACGCGCACGAGAAGCCGCGCTCATTACGATTGATAAAAGCGTGAATTATTCACTCGAAATTGAAAAATTGATGTTTCGCTCCTCAAATGTTCCTACACTGAGAAAAAAAAATGCTCTTGCCAAGCATATTTACTTGGCACAAGTAAATGTATACAAATATCGGCATAAGACATTTGTAAATTTTCTTGTGATTAGCAATTACACTTGGCAAAAGTAAATTTTTTTTCTCAGTGTATTCGTTGTTATCCTCTTTTCAATAGGGATGATGAATAGTGCGCAGTATCTCAGACTTCATCCACCATAGATGAACCCTGCACCCACTGACAATAATTTTCACCAATTCATCAAATTCACAAGTGCCCAATTGTGCCTATTGGACGGTTCTGATAATAAAAACTTCGCTACTCACGTTTTACTGTAATTGTTGTAAGGAAAACTGAATATCCTCCGCTGAGTGACTAAAACTATCCGCTGGGATTTCTAAAAGTACTGAATGCAGTTGAGTTGCGTTTTCTTTTGAATGCAACTATATATTTGGTGCGGTGAGGGTCGCAATCGCAATCGAGAATGAAAGTTAAGAATAACTAACAGCTACAGGAGCATTCGAGTTCGAACCGCTGTCGTCAGTGCGCGAACGCTGACTGACGCTTATGCCTTAAGGTATGGGCTATGGTGAGCCACATAACACCCACTTCCAGTGGATGCATACCGATATGAAGAATTGCCGCGCTTCACTGTTGGAAAAAAATTGGAATTTCAAGGATAATCTGGTAGTAATTCTGAGGGGAGTGACGTTGTGTTCGATGCAGGGAGAAACGGCTTGTAAATTTCAAGTTTCAGCAGCAAGTTCAAGTGAATTCAAACAGTTTTGAGTGTGAATGAACCATGAATGCCACAAATCGGTCGAGTTTTCTTCATTTTTATTGATTTTTGGTTTAATAATTAAACTCAAACAAATGTTTTTTACCCCAGTTTTTTCCTTCGAATGTTGATTCTTCATTTCATTTTGGGTGAAAAGGAAGAATTTTTTAAGTCAGCTGGAAATTCGAGGGAGTTTAAATAGTTTTGACCAGACGGAAGTCGGAAATTTCACAAGTCATTTGAAGTTTCAATTCAGCAGAAATAATAAGTATGAAATCCCAACGAATTCTCCATTGATTGAAAATTCAAGGTTCATTCACGTGCATTTTGATAATTTACATTCATTTTTCCAACTAAAATTTGTAAATCGTTATGTTCAATATGAATTAATCAAAAATTAAAGAATAGATTCCCCTAAATTTCTCTAATTTCCTCTCATTTTTGCAAATCTGCGACTGAAATTCATAGTCTCCCTCGATTTCATCTTCACATTTAATAGAATTTCCTAGCGAATCCGCTAGGGTTCTCTATGCAATTGTTTTATACGTGAAATGCCGCCATTAAGACTCGTAAATACAAAACTGTTTTTCCCTCAGTTTTTCCCTTCGAATGGTGATTCTTCATTGGATTTAAGGTGAAAAGGAAAAATTTTTGAAGTCAGCTGGAAATTCGAGTGAGTTTAAATAGTTTTAAGCAGCCGGAAGCCGGACATTCCACAAGTTATTTGAAGTTTCAATTCAGCAGAAATAATAAGTATGAAATTCCAACGAATTCTCCATTGATTAAAAATTGAATGAATTGAATGAATGAATTTTCACAATTTATTTACTCATTTCTACGACTGAAATTTGTAAATTGTTGTCTTCGACAGGAATTAATAAAAAATTGAAGAATATTCCCTTAAATTTCGCTTATTTTCTCTCATTTTTGCTAAAATATGCGACTGAAATTCATAGTCTCCCCGATTTCATTTTCACATTTAATAGAATTTCCTAGCGTATCCGCTACGATTTTCTATGAAATTGATTTATACGTGAACTCCCGCTACTGATACTCAAAAATACGAAATTGCATGGATGTGCAAATGCCTCCCATTGAGTCGAAAATAACTGGGACTTTTCCTTGAAAGCTGAGTTCCACCGCATTGTGTACTATTCTACGTCTTCAGTGACAAAACGTGTGTTATCATCTCGTGTTATCACTCGTGCATGATAAAGCAGCTCGACCAAACCCCTAAAACAACATTCCTCCACCTCCGCCAAGCAATTCCATTCACCTTTGCAAGTCAATTTCTCTAATTGTTGATTTCGAATCGATAAACATTCATGTGTATTGAATATGTCATTGCCCATCTTGGACTTTTCTACTGGGTGCACCGGTCCTTAGGCATTCTTGCTTTCGCCAGTCGCAGTTGTACAATGCATCGCACAATGAAGACAGAGGACAAAGAGATAAGGCATTGATAAGACTATCTGCGACCTATGTCTATTGTCGTCGTTAAATCCGTAGAAAATCCACGAAAGAATCTTAAGGATATCTTAAGGATATCCAATTTTTTTTTTACAATTTGGTACAGCACGGACGAAAAAATTTAATAGAAAAACCTATCGAATTCGTTAGAAAATTCTATTGAATTTCTATTGAACTGTTCTATTAGTTTTTGGCCGATTATATTAAATGTTCAATAGAAAATAATCAGCAGAAAAAGTCAATAGAATTCAATTTTTCTATATAACTTATTCTATTGAGATATTTTCTATAGAATTTCCTCGGCTCAAATTTTCCAAGTTTTTTTGTTTGATTTTCTTGATGAGAAGAAAAGAAAAATAGAATGAAACCAACTTAGAAAATTTGAGTCCAGCAAATTCTATAGAAAATATATGAAAAGAATAAGTTATATGGAAAAATCGAATTCTGTTGCCTTTTTCTATTGAATGTTTTCTATTAAACATGTCAATAGAATCAGCCAAAAACTAATAGAAAGGTTAACAGAAATTCAATAGAATTTTCTAACGAATTCGATAGATTTTTCTATTAAATTTTTTCGTGCGTGAGACCACACAATAGATTGAACCATTTTCAATCATCAAATTTGTCAATGAAATGGCGTGAGAAAAATTTGAAAAAATCAGAAATTCCACAGAATTATTTATTTTTAAACATTCGTTGTTTATCAATAAATGATTGAAATTGTTTGTACGTTCGAAAACCTAATTTTTTTAGGCATGAAATCGATTTCTGGTAAAATTCCGAATATGAATGAATTTGTTACGATTCCGAACAAATGACTTTAATGATGGAACATTGATTGTTTATAAATTATTTATATAAAACGCTTGTCAAACTATAGTCTCTCCTATTACAAAAGTTTGACACCGACGATAATCTTAATATGGGAATTTTCATTTTTTAATTCCAATTTTTCCATGTTTTTCTAGATTTTAAATTCTTTCTTAACCTTGACAGACTCATTCTCTCATAGGACTCTGTAATTTCGGCACTTCTAAATTAATTATCATCTATAATCGTAGACTCCTGAGTGAGAAAAAGTTGAATCAAAACGTTTCTATTCATTTCAACATCCGTTTAGAATTAATTTCAGATTTTAATCTTCAAAATTTGCGTTATGTTCACGTGATTTTAAACCAGTAAAAAAAGGGGGAAAATATCCCGCTGTCAGTGTTAATTTCGCTTAATCCCATCGTGAATGCCACGAACTCTCAATCCACTTTGAGTGATATCCCGCCCACGTAACAATTCGATAATCAAATGGCAGAAGTCTCACGACATCCCGAACTCATCCCACCGTCTACGGCCTTAATCGAATCATCTAACGGGTTTTGCAATTGATTATCTCTTTGCACTTTCCCCGTGGTGCGTCTCCTCCCTTTCTCCCGGGATATACTTGTTTTTAAACTCACCCGGGATTCATTGATTCACTTTCTTCTGGCTGTGTCGAGTGTTAAGTCAGATTGAAAGTCATATTTGCGTGGGTATCAATATCTAGCTGTTTCTCGCAGCGCAAAAAACGTGACTTATATATATTCGGACAATGTTTTAAGAGAAAAAATCAATATTTCCCCTAGATTTTTAAACACAAAGAACAAAGAAATTTATTTTTTGAGAATTTGTGGCATTGTAGAATTTAACGAATGCGAAAACAAAATCAGAAAAATGCAGCAAAAATTCGTTAATAATCCTCTCAAATTTATCTTTCACCTCGCGTTTCTTCTTGATTCCAAATAAACATTTATGAAATACTAGGGGACTACGCCCCCTGCTCGCTGCGCACGGCAACCCCCACGATCCTTATTCTGACCCTTGTGACCCTTAATCTGTCCCTCGTGAGCCTCATTATACTATTCGTGACCTTTATTTANTACAAAAGTTTGACACCGACGATAATCTTAATATGGGAATTTTCATTTTTTAATTCCAATTTTTCCATGTTTTTCTAGATTTTAAATTCTTTCTTAACCTTGACAGACTCATTCTCTCATAGGACTCTGTAATTTCGGCACTTCTAAATTAATTATCATCTATAATCGTAGACTCCTGAGTGAGAAAAAGTTGAATCAAAACGTTTCTATTCATTTCAACATCCGTTTAGAATTAATTTCAGATTTTAATCTTCAAAATTTGCGTTATGTTCACGTGATTTTAAACCAGTAAAAAAAGGGGGAAAATATCCCGCTGTCAGTGTTAATTTCGCTTAATCCCATCGTGAATGCCACGAACTCTCAATCCACTTTGAGTGATATCCCGCCCACGTAACAATTCGATAATCAAATGGCAGAAGTCTCACGACATCCCGAACTCATCCCACCGTCTACGGCCTTAATCGAATCATCTAACGGGTTTTGCAATTGATTATCTCTTTGCACTTTCCCCGTGGTGCGTCTCCTCCCTTTCTCCCGGGATATACTTGTTTTTAAACTCACCCGGGATTCATTGATTCACTTTCTTCTGGCTGTGTCGAGTGTTAAGTCAGATTGAAAGTCATATTTGCGTGGGTATCAATATCTAGCTGTTTCTCGCAGCGCAAAAAACGTGACTTATATATATTCGGACAATGTTTTAAGAGAAAAAATCAATATTTCCCCTAGATTTTTAAACACAAAGAACAAAGAAATTTATTTTTTGAGAATTTGTGGCATTGTAGAATTTAACGAATGCGAAAACAAAATCAGAAAAATGCAGCAAAAATTCGTTAATAATCCTCTCAAATTTATCTTTCACCTCGCGTTTCTTCTTGATTCCAAATAAACATTTATGAAATACTAGGGGACTACGCCCCCTGCTCGCTGCGCACGGCAACCCCCACGATCCTTATTCTGACCCTTGTGACCCTTAATCTGTCCCTCGTGAGCCTCATTATACTATTCGTGACCTTTATTTAGACCCTTAATTTTGGAGTCTTAATTTCGAGCACCAAATTTTCATCACCAAAAGTCAATTTGGATTTTTACAGTATAGAAAGATATTGAGACCCTTGTGACCCTTGGTTTCTGAGCCCCATGACCCTTATTTGGACCCTTAATCTGACCCTTGTTATCCTTATTTGAACCCTTAATCTACTCCCGTGACCCATGTGGACCTTATTCTGACTCCAACGACCCTTATTTTGCCCCTCATGACCCTTAATTTCGAGTACCAAATTTTTATCACCAGAAGTCGATTAGGATTTTTATAATATCGAGAGACAATTGCGCTCTCCGATTACCAATATTGCGCAGTAATCCTTCGCAACATTTTCCTCTCCATGTACTAATCAATTATTGAACAAAAATATTTTGAATTGAATGAAAAACTCCTGTTCAGTGAATTGCACACATAGAATTCCGACAAAAAATATAAAATAACGTCCACCGCCTCATTACTCATAAATTAACAAATAGAAAACCTCACTCGTTCGCCAGTTCCCAAAATTTTGAATTTAAAAGTCCCACCGCCCACGGCGCTGGCGCCCCCAAGATGGCCAATAGCGCGGAGCACATGGCACGTGAAGGTATTGACCCTAACCTGTCAATAAAACAAACACCCAAGTGTCAGTGCTCTCCTCACCCCATGCCCCCAAAGCAACCCCACTCGATTCCCCAAAACAATTCGAATCACCCAACAATAAAAAATGTGTAACGAAGCCCTAGTGGACTCCCACCGCCTGCTGGCCCACCTAAAAGAATTACGCGTAAAAAAAAACTCAGGTGAGCTCGACGACGAGGCGAGTCTCTCCCTCCAGGAGACGAGATGGAGAAACCGGTTGGATTACGATTTAATTTCCTCCTGTCTCCAAAACTTCAACGAAGACGTTCGACTGGAGGTCCTCGGGCTGCTAGTGGAATCGAAGAAGAGCACTCTAGTCTTCAACGAACGAGAATTCCACGTTATCCTGCAATTTTTGACGTTCAACCTCGGTGAGCGACTGGAGTTCGTGCCGCTGATTAAGAAAACCTTCAAACGCATGAAAGAGAGTCTAGCAGTGCTGAAAAGACAGACAACCCAAGTGGAGAAAATCGAGTCATGCAGGCACGAGGTACGTGACAATCTCCAATTGTACGAGCAATTAAAGAAGGAGTACGAAGCCACAGCCACTCGTTCACTAGCCTCCATCGCCTACTACCGCAAATTCTTCACTAAAATCCGAGAGATATGTCTGAACGGCCTCTGCCCAGGCTCCACCCACACTCGAAAGAAGAACAGCCTGCGAATACTCCAGCTGCAGGAGGAACTCCTGTCCCCGGACTTCAGGGAATCCCCCTGGACCCCCGACCAAGCAGACAAGCTCCTCCAGTGTCTGCTATTGGACACCTACGAGACCAACAAAGAGGTGTCTTTCAGGATAATAACGAACATAAGCCCCTGCCTGCTGAAATTAGATAACGAGGAGAGAGTCGATGAAATAATAAACGTTGCATTGAGATTGGGGAACAGTATACGACCCATTGACAGCATAACAGCTGGCTACATGTTCAAAGTTTCTCTTTTATCACCGGTCATTGAGAATGTCTTATTAAGACACCTGAAAATTGATGCAGTTGTTTGTGATGCTGATGATGTTACCTTGTGGCTGATTATCGTTATAATTGAGCAGTTGAGAGAGCCAGCGAGACTGGCTAATGAGAACATAATCATAGCTGCTGCCAGGCATTCCCTCTACGGTTATTTATTCTGCATTAAATTGCTGTTATCCATCTGCGATCTCAGGAGTAAACACGATCATTCGTTGTGGCGGAGAACTGTTGATGATTTAATCGGCTTGTGCTTGAGTCTGAATAAATCAGTATCGCAAATTGTTAATAACTCTTCACCTGAGGGCCACTTCCCCATGGATCTAGATGGCAAACACTTGAATGAGGATGTTGACGACGTGGAGGTGGCTGTGACACCTCAGATGGTGTTGCTGTGCTCTTGGAGGACTGTCAAGGAAGTCAGTCTGTTATTCGGGTATCTCAGTGAGAAATCTCCGATTGAGGGAGGGGGGAGGGTGGGGCTGCTATCGGGGGAACAGATCGTGGAGATTGGAGACCACTTGGTGACACTTTTGTGTGAGACTAAGCATCGGGGGGCTTTTGAACAGGCTCATGTCGGCTTCGAGCAGCTCTGCAGGAGACTGTGGAGGGCTGAGGAGGAGAGGCTCAAGCAGCTGCCGAAATTGTGGCTTTATCAGGTCTTGTTGGATATCACTGGACTGTCCCCGGGAAACTCCAAGCTTTGCGCCACTAGGAGGAGTGCTGGGGTGCCTTTTATGGTTCAGGTATGAGGGGCTGAATTTGGGGAAGAATTTTTTAGGGAAACAATTCGCTTTGTTTTGTTGGGTTTCATTCGTTTTTGATTATTTGGGATTCCACTGTCTAGATACCTCATTAAACTCGTTCACATTGAATTAATTCAGTGACGAAGCGGTAAAATGGTTCTAATCGGATTTGACTATTTACCAGTAATGAATATCTCGAAATGTAGGGAAGATTGCAATGTCTTTGCCATAGCCTTTTTGTAGAAAATCGAGAGATAAAAAAGGTTATTATGAAAATGTCGTACTGCTAATAAAAGTATTATAAGCGTAACTTAGATTGTGAAGATTAAAATCTGAAATAAATTCTAAACGCAAGTTAATATGAATCAAAACTTTCTGGTTGAGTTTGTGCTCAATTGGCAGTCTAGTATGATTAATAGTAATTCATTTACACATGGCAAAATAGCACAGGCTCATATAAAAAATAGAATTTTTCAAGTAGGAAAGAAGAATAAAATCTAGAAAAAGTCTTGAAAAAGCGAAAAAAATAATAAAAATTCTGTGCCTAATATGAAAATTATCGTCAGAGTCAAAATTTTGTAATAAATAATTTATGTTTCTGGGTTCTCCGAATGTACAAGGCTGTTCTATTCAAACTAGAGACTGTTGTTTATGAAAATAATTGTCAGAGAATGTGATGGATTAATTTCTCACTCTTCAATGTTACAATTCATGTTAGAAATTATTAATGGTGAATAATCATATCAATATAATTTTTAATTAATTTATCGTCATTGCACACAACGACTCACGAGGAGATGAGATATACAACTTTAAACCGTTTTACCTTTTCGCTACTGAATTCATTTAATGAATAAATCTTTTATTTTGATTGCAGGCATTGATCGCCTCAGCCCCATCAGTCTCCAAAAAATCCGACGCCGCAGTATTTCATTCCGTAATGAGAATCCTCCTAGGATTGACTGAATTCACTGAAGAATGTCAATTATCAGGAGCAAAGGAGCTCCTCGAGAAGGAGGACTTCTTCAAAGCCATACGAAGCCCCTCAGCCTCCCCGAACTCCAGTCACTCCATCACAATGACAGAAGTAAAAACCCACGCTCTGAACATCCTTCGAGCCTTATTCAAGCACGCCCAGCTTGGTGACTTGACCCGGGCCTACGCAGCCGACGGCTTGATAGCCGCAATCAAGAGTTACGACGAGAAAACCTGGGCAGAGCGTAACGCAGCGACTCTCCTCTACAGCTCCCTGATAACTCGAATCTTCGGTGTTCAGAGGACAAAGGACCACGTGAATCTGACAGTTCACAATAAAATGACGGGCAGAATATTTTTCGAGAAATACCCAAAACTCCTGCCCTTTATGCTGCACGAGTTGAAAGTGTTTATCGAGGCCAGTGATGGCCTGATTAAACCCAGTGTACAATCGATTCTCCTCCTATTGTCACGACTCTACCTCAGTTACAATTCCGATAGTGGTGATGTCAATTGGAGAATCGATGAATTCGTGTCTCTAGTCTCTGGCTGTGCCAAAAGTCGAGTTTACAATACTCGTGAACTAGCTGCTAGGGCTTTAGTTCCTCTATTGACTGGGAAAACAGTGGGAGCATTCGTCAATAGTTTGTTCGAGGTGATGATCAATAGACCTGGGGACAATGTAAATTTGAATCTTTTGCATGGGTATATGCTGCAGATTCTGGAGATCACGAAGAGCTCTTTGTTGACAGCACCTGAGGCACCGAAACTGGAGGCCGAGGGCTTCGTCAGAGGCTCTGAGTGGATCCTGCAGCAGCTCGAGACCTGCAATGATAGACCTGCTGCATTTCCCCTGGCAACAGCACTCGTTAATGTATTCTGTGAACTAGTGAGAGTCAGTGGGGTAATGGAGAGTGCAGTGGCTTTTGATGGGATTCTTCGACGCCTATTGAGGCACATTAATGGGGAGAATTCGCTCAAAGATCGCCCGGGGCGAGAGGTTTATGAGGCTGCTGCTGCTGGTTTTCTCATTAGTCTATTAGATTCGAAATTGGGGGGATTTGAGGCTGTGAGGGGGGAGGAATACTGGGGGTGTTGGGGGTCAATGCTGTCGCATGCTAATTATCAGGTGCAGATTGTCGCCTGGGAAAGGGTCGTTAGGGCTGTTGAGGTCAACTCCAGTGGAGAATTTTCCTGGAGAACTCTGAGACTCGCTCTGGAGGGCGTGAACAGTGTCAGGAACGATCCGGATTTGCAAAGTGTTATTTTCGAATTTTTGTGTGAGGTGTTTGACAGGGGGGAGGGGGAGTTTAAGGGCTTTTATGTCGGTGATAACAGACTTTTGGAAATTAGTGAGACAGTTTTGAGAATTTTTCGAGGAGACTTGCCTCAGGATAATGCCAGCTTTTTTCGGCTTTTGGGGAAAACATTTGGAAGGTTAATTAGGAGCTCTAGGAGGGAGTCTCAGTTAATTGCCGATGTTGGGAGTGCAGTTTATGAGGGATTTCGCGAGCACTCGTGGATGGGCTCGGCTGGAATCGACTGCAGGATAGCTATCGCTGGAGTTATTCATGATATTTATGCTGATAGCAGTGAAAACGGGAGAAAATGTATCAATTATGGTAGGAGAAATCACTGGTCGCTTGGAAGATTTGTGAATTTAAAGGGAGATTGCTATGAATTTTGAAGGCACCGGGATATTGGAGTGAGATTTCTCATGCGTTAAAGATTGTTTATATTTGTATGAAAATGAAGAAGTAGTGCAGAAAAATTTTTTAGTGTCTCCCATTTTTAAGCTAGGGAGATTTTGTTTCTAAATTTTTCAACAAATGTAAATAATAATTACGAATAACTTTTTTCAATGTAGATGTTGAAGTTTTCCATTTCGTTTTTGGTTAAATAATCATGTGATTTTTTGCTTCTTGAGTTTTTTGCTGTCGGAATCAAATAAAACATTATGAATATTTTGAGAATCCATTTAATGGCTCTTTTTTTAGTCTGAGACTTTCAAAATTCATTGTAGTCTCTCAGTGTGTTTTAAAGTCGAAATTTTGTAATTAGAGAATTGTTTATGTTCCTGTTTTCAGAGAATACTTTGAACTGGTGGACGACTCTGCTTAATTTATTAGTGGACGATAGCAATCAAGTAAGAAAGTTGGCGTCGATAGCTCTATCGAAGGTACCTCCGGAGTCGGAGGTGAAGTGCGACTCGCACTCGTTGGAATTATTCTTCTATAAGTTTTCGAAAATTTGGAGTGGGGAAGGGGGGCTGCTCTTTGCCGCTTATTTCGTGTGGAGTCTAGCACTTGCGGAGGGGGATTATGAGATGGATGATAGTGATGTGAGAATTTTCATTTAATTCTGGGGATTTTCAAAGGAGAGATGAGTTTATTACGAATTGAAAGGAATTATTCCATCATTGCATTTACATTTTTTTCATTTTTTATTTGATCATCTGTTTGTCTAACAAACATTTCATTTCATCATTAAAAACTTATGTTATTCAACAACTTAATTCGCATGGAATTTCAACACATTTTGTTGCTTTAAATCAGCAGATTTGTTCAAAATGCAATTAATATTGAAATTGCATTCGGTTTTAACACCGAAAGTGCTGAAAATCCGGAAAATTCAATCGATAATCAAAAAATAATTTCAATTTATCTGAAAAACCTAATTTTCATCAACATTTCCATATTTATTACATATGGAAAAACTCAGTTCTTAATTTTTCAACTTGATGGGAAATTTAATGATCAATTTTCTCCGAATTCAGTCATCATATTATTCATTCGATACCAAATATTTCTTTCATATGCAAGAAATGGTGAATGCAGAAAAATAAAATAAATATATTCCCCCTATTGAATTATTCATCTAATTTTATTACTTTGTCTATTAGTATGTGACGAATCTCACTCTTCCAACTCCAGTATATCCCCTCAAATTGATGAATCAATAGATAAAGTAATTAAATGAATGCCTGAATGAATAGCACTAATGACGTCATTCTTTCCACTTCCAGGTATTCAACAAATGCTACAATTACGAGTCCTTCGAGCCCCTGCGCATATCCAGCCTCTGCGAAGAATATCTGAATACCCTATCGGATCATTACGATATTCATGCTCCATTTCCGGCCGGAGTACAGACCTGGCTCATCCATAGATTGAATATAGAGTCCTCAGACTGCCAAGACGCCCAAGCCCTCATTACGTCCTATCGAAATCGACTGCCTCCTCTCAGCAACAAATTAGACGACATATTGGATCCCACGTGCAATGATAAATTGCTGCAATCATTGGCATTTGAAAAGTTTCTCCTCGTCGAGGAGCCACATTACCATGGGACTATGCACAATAGCAATTGAATCAATTTATCGCAAATTTATTACAGACAAAACAATTTTTCATTTACATTTTTTTAAAATGAAGACGACGAATCGAAGAAACTGTTTTCCAATAAAAAACGAAAATTCAACAAAATTTTTTCTCGATTATGAATAAATGCACGAAGAGTGCCGTAATGCCTATGTCTCAATTGTACTGGGAATTGTGCTTTTCGCTCACTCTCAATCGCAATCAGTTCGAAAGGAAGAAATCCTATCCAAAGCCTCTAGTTCTCCCTTCAAACTTCCCTTGTCTTTTCAGGAATATCTCTTTCCGAGAAAAAATTTAATGTTTTCCTTCAGTATCATACTCCTTGAGCCCAAAGAGCGATTTCTTCTCTGAAACCTACAATGCATTGATCGAATATGTACACTGTGAGGAAAAAATTGAAATTTCGTGGACAGTCTTCTGGTTATTTTAAGGAAAGTGACATTAAGGATATCCAAATATCTTTTACAGCTTGGTGCAAACCACACTATAGATTAACCCATTTTCAATTATCAAATTTGTTAATTAAATTGCGTGAGAAAAATTTGAAAAAAATCATGAATATTCAGCGTCTTTCAAATGATATTTTGTACAGAATTATTATTTACCATGGGACCATGCACAATGGCAATTGAATCAATTCATCGCAACTGCACACGAAACAATTTTTCATTTACATTTTTTCAAATTGAAGACGAATCGAAGAAACTGTTTTCCAATAAAAAACGAAAATTCAACAAAAATTTTTCCCGACTATGAATAAATGCACGAAGAGTACTATAATGCCTACGTCTCAATTGTATCGGCAATTGTGCTTTTATGGATCTTTTTATGACCCACCCATTACACTTTTATTTCAATTCTTTTTGCCTTTTTTTCCTTCCACCTTGAACTAAACGAAAGTCGACCAATTTGTCGGTTCATGTGTATTACACCGAAAACTATATACCCACCTCCTCGCCCTTTTCCGTGTCCCTCTTCACCGTTTATACTATGGGAAACGATTTGGCTCATTACTATTCAAGAGCAATCGTTGTAGAAGTGGCCCCACGATTACGGCGCTTGGCCAATTCGGATAAATAGATAAAGCATTCTCGGCCCAGGATTTCCAGAGTGTACGTGAACTCATGAATAATGAATTGACAATTGGGGTTTGGTTCTATTCTTGTGCATTCGACAAACTGATGCAACAATGCGTCATGTGATTTACTGGATTTGCATGCGCTTGACCGTTTCCTGGTGCTTCTGAAAATGTCGCTGAGTTCAGGATGCAGTAGGATTAGAGGGAAGCGCCTCCGCGGTAGAGAAAAATACAATCTTGGAGTATTTGTCTTGAATAGATTTGAATTGGGCTTCGCCCACAAAAAAATATCTTCTCTGATTTTCAGCTAAACTTGGAATTTTTTATTACGCTTTGGTTCCACTGAAATTCTAAGGGATTTCGTCATTGAATATTCAAAATTTTAAAGAAAAATGAACGGAAACTAGAAATTTCAGTTTTATCAATCCACGAAAATTAACAGAAATCCGGAAAATTGGGGGAAATATATTCTTGAATTGCCAACTAATTGAAATTTTTGCATAATTTGGTATCAAATATTTATATTTTAAGTTTGGAATTGTTAAAGGGCAGCCAAGGGGTGGAAAAAATACAATCTTCAGGTATTTGTCTTGAACAGATTTGATTTGGACTTCGCCCAGAAGAATGATGAAAATCTGCACATTGTCGGAGATTTTTTCCTGAAATTTCAGCTACACTTCTTGGAAATTTTTATTACATTATGTTTCCACTGAAATTTTTGGAAAAGATTAATCGAAACCGTAAATTTTAGTTCTGTTACTCCCTAAAAATTAATAGAAATCCGGAAAATTTGGGTAAATATATTACTGAATTTCCGACATGATTTGGTACTGAATATTTATGTTTTGATTGAAAATTCAAGTAAGTCTTTTTTAATTTTTCTTTAATTGTGGTCTTCCTATTCTTGTGCACCCGTCTCCTAGTAACTCTGAAGATGTCACTGAATTCCGAATGCGTGGGTATTATAGGGCAGCCGAAGGGTTGTGAAAATTCTGACGAAAATACAGCCATGGGGTATTTACGTCATGAATAGATTTGAATTGGATTGTGCTTTGCGCACGAAAAATGCCTTCTCACAACAATAACAAAATTCTGCATGACGTATGTGAAAATGAGTGGTTTGCGGCTTGTGTGATTGCCCTTCCCTTAGCGCAGCCTGTGATCTTGACGCTCGTTAACATGCACGGAGATAAAAATCAGTTGAAAATCATCCATGAGCTTAACTAATCATGTAGCGTATTGATCCGTTAGGTGTTTTTACAATAATTCCACAGGGTTAACAAAAATTATTTCTCTTGAAATGATTAGCAATGGCTCATTCACATGAAGTTATCAATTATATTCCGCAACTTTTTGCCAAAATTCGGTACATTTTTTCTAAGCAGAAAAGTTTGAGAGAAATAACTGATAAAATTACTGAAAAAGTCTATTGAACACGGAGTGAAATTCCGTTTTAGACTCTATATCGGTGGAAAAATGCGAGACGAGCAGTGAATTTGTTAGAACAAGCGGAGAAAATTCACTGATTTTGCTTGTTTTAAAAAATTTCACTGATTCTCCGGTAATTTGTTCGGAAATGGTGAAATTTCTTTGCAATTTTATGAAAAATTACACCAGCGAACTTAAATAATTACTCAATGTCTAGGTAGGTTTCCGTAACGGCGATCGATTTTCTTCCCCGAACACTACCGTAAATTTTCACTTTCCCTCCTCCCCATGTCGTTCGCATCGTTGCCCAGAAAAATACTATCCGGGTGCTGGAAATTTGACCGTACAGGGACCGTAATTTTTGCTTTCACACAGTTCATTTTTGTTACTGAACGGATCGTAAGATAAAAAGGATTTTTTATTGAATTACAATTTCGGTCCACGATCGCCTTTCAGACAGTAAAATTTTCCGAGACTTTCTTAAGCTTTTCTCCCGTGCAGATCTTTATTTGCGAAATTTATGAAATACTGACGGTCCTTAATAACGTGCTCTAATTGGCTGGCATCCAAAAGAAAGAAATCAGGAGCGAAGTGGTCAAACGTTTTAAGTCAATTTAGTCTTTAGTTGAGTTTTCCGGAAATATTCCGGAATTGAAGGGAGATTGCGAAATTTTCATAATAACCTTTTTTGTGGAGCGAATTGAGTGCTACTAAAAAGGTTATGAGAAAAATTTTGCTATCTCCCTTCGATTTCGAGATATTCATTAGAAACTGGACAATAACCAAAATCGACTTAAACCGTTTGACCACTTCGCTACTGAAATAATCAATAGAACTTTGATTTTTAGTTCCGTATGACAATGAAAGTTATTGAAAATTGTGAAAATTCAGGGAAATACTGTTTTGGATTCCCAATTTATTGAAAATTCCATTAGTCATTGAAACCTAATTTTTTTCATTTCATTGAAACATCATTTTTTTCATTTTTTCTAACAGTATATATTCGTTATAGGCGCTTATTAAAACTTGAAGAATATTGATGAGAATGTTTCATCATGTTGTCGAACAGTTTTTAGCTGGATGAACGGAATTCAGTTTCCCTCGATTTCCATCCAGGAAATCTCAAAAGGATTTGAAAACCATTTACGAGAAAACCGTTTACCAATCGTGATTTCGCAAGTTCAGCGAACTGACTTTTATAGCAGAATGTCATTCTGTAATAAAAAAAAGTAGGTCAATCTTGAAACTTTAAGAGCTACTCTTTATGGATGTTATATAGATAAAGTTTAAATATGAAAACCTTGAGGGACTCTTCTGAAATTATTAATCGAGAATCGTTCTCAGCGCATTGGAAAACCTTGTTCCGATGAGAGAGATGAGGTTTTTTCCATTTTATTGCTCCAACATCCTTAAAAATATGGGAGACTGGGGGAGAAACGGAGGTTGGAGAAACGGAGATTTCCGCGTCATATCCTGAGAAAAATATCCGCATCAGGAAATACCCCAATACTAATATTTACCTACACGGAGAGAACAGTTGGAGAAAAATTATTCATTAGAAAATCTCTGAAAATTTTCATTGTGCGAAAGGTAGTTGTGGAGAATTGTGGATTTCTTGCCTCAAGAAATCTTTTTTTTCGGTCAGAAGATGAGAAAACGACTGAAAAATACTAAAACCTCGAATTCAGTTAATCATGGACTATTATATTGAGTGAATATAGAATTTATACAGAGGGAACTTCAGAGGACCTCCGGATATTTCCAAAATATGACGCTCGTTTGCTCTTAATCGCAATGAATTCGGCAGTGTCTATTCACACGCTCCACGGTAAATTTTCCTGTGAATTTAAGGTAATTTCTACCGTGGATTGGACACCTTTTTCACCGTGGATACACAGGAGATTTTACCGTGGATCAATTGTAGGGTCACAAGGGAGAGTCAATCGAAATGGCCACAAGGGTCACAAGAAAGGCGTCGCTAGGATCACAAGTCACAAAAAAAGGAGTCGCTAGGGTCGCGAGGATCATAATCTTGTCTGACATCTCTGGTATAGAACTCCATATCAGAAAAATTCTACTTGTTTTTGCACTGATTCTATTAGATATTAGATAAGAAAAAGTCAATAGACTTCGAATTTCTCTTTGAATTATTCTCTTCAGATTTTTTCCACAAGAATGCCTGACCATCAATTTTCTCCTTTTTTCTACTCGGCTTCTGTAACGCAAAATAAAACAAAATCCAGGGGAAAAAACTTAGAAAATTGGTGCCCAATAATTCTAACAGAAAAAATCTCAAGCGAAAAATTCAAACAGAAATTCAAAATATATTGACTTTTTCCGTTTAAATATGCAATAGAATTAGCGCGAAAAACCAATTAGGGGAGGTTGGGGTAAAACGAACACTTTTGACTTTTATTTAAATGTTAATGAGGGGTTCAAATGTTGATAAAATTCAATAATTTTTTTTTTCAATACAAAGAACAATCTTTCCCTTTGTGACGAGCCTGAACTGAGCTCAATTGATCAATTTGTTTCTGAGTTATGAATAATTTTAAAAAAGTCTAAAGTATCCGTTTTACCCCACCCTCCCCTAGCATTTTTCAATAGAATTCCAATCGAAATCCTTTAAAAACCCCGTAGAATTCCCATAGAATCCCCCTAGAATTTTCTAGCGAATTCGCTACATTTTCTATTGAATTTTTTCATGCATATTATTTTTGCAAAATTATGACAATTTTTCTCTCCGCGCAGTTCGGTCAGCAAACACTGAAAATTCAAAGAACAACATTGTCCCCAGCCCCCCCTGCTCCGTCATTTCCACAATTTGAGGGAGGAAAATTACTCCACTGTGTAAAGAGGTCACGAGCGCTGTTTCCCCCGACAATACTTTGAATTCGTCAGCTGGAGGTTTTTTTACAACGAAAAATGAGGGTGGAGCCCAGAGCGGAATAGAACAAAAGTGTAAAAGCTTTGGCACGGAATTAAAAGTTGTCGAGGCACTCGACAACTCCTCGAATGCCCCGCTAAATGGAAGTCGAAGGGGTTTTGAAAATAAAAATAGGCCGAAACCCCGTGCAAGAGGGGATGAGAAATCCAGGCGAATCTGAGAATGCGGTAAAACTCTCCCCGGAGATCCATCGGAATGGTCACGTGAATAATGAATAATCATCCAGTGTGCACCGGAAAAAAACCCCCCCGACAGTCCGTAGTCCGCGTAGAGGATCTAGTGTGGGTGGGGGAGTGAGACAGCAGTGAATGTTGTCCCACCCGTTATATGGAGCAAAATGGCGGACTGTGCTGTGTGTGTGTGGTGGTGGAGTGGCTGTTGGGCTGAGGAGGCGCTTCAGTCGAGGCTCACCGGCCGACTCGTAACTCGTTGCATATTTTCGTCTCGTGTTAAATAAATCTCCACGACTCGTGGTTCACCCAGCCGCGACAAAATAATCCCCACCAATTGACTCACTGAATAACCCGTCTAACGTGAAAATATCATCAACAAATTGACAATTGTTACCCACCAAATAGCCCCATCTCCCCCCTTTATTATCATTTTCCCTCGATATTGTCGGAAATATGTCGTTTTTTTCATCACATTTGAGTGGATGAAGAAGGGAGAAAAAAAATCAAACGAATGGGAGCAACGATCGTGCGTGTAATACCAGGCATGGAGTGGACTCAGTGTTGTAGTGATTGTTTCAAATTATTTCGTGCTGTTGTCACACTTCCTGAATTTACAAGGTGAGTCCCCAACGACTGTTGACATTTTAACGTATCACTATTCTCGTGGAGTCAGTGCGTTGACTCGTCGTTGTAATTTGTTTGAGGGAGAACACATGTGGTGGCTAATGAACATGAATTTTTTTCTCTCTCACTTTGAGACAATTTATGGGGACAACGAATACACCTATGCTCGAATCAAGTGAACTCCCATGACCCACATAATGGGCAAACTGTCACTCGTCTAATTTTCACGTTTTTTTTTCTGCAGGCGTTATTGCCTACTCCAACAGAGAACACACCGACCTAGCCTTTTTCCCTCGTACACAAGTGTTTTCTGTCTACATGTATTTTGTTTTCTCCTCTTCTTTACAACACACTCGTTTGTATCTCACACTCAAACGTCAGGTGGGATAATTTTTTTCCCCTCATTCTTCTCGTTTCCTCATTTACTTGGATGAGACTCGACGAGACCCATTGGGGCTGGCAATAGCCAAGGACCAGAAGCTCCAGAACAAGTTTTAAAAGTAGAATTGCCAGTGAGTAGTAGTTTGACTTGGTTTTCTATCCCAATGTGCCATGTATGTACATAGAAAATGTTCCCCTCATTTTTTTTTTCATTCCCCCCCCCCTCCCCCAATGAAATATGTGGATATTGCTTTACAGCAATTTTCGTAATTACAAACGAAGGATTTCCTTCATTGGTGTCAGGAGCCAGCAGTTCTCTCTATTTATTTTTCCTCTTATTTCGTGTCGCAACTGTTGCATGAGACGCTTTTCTCCGCCCCTCTCTGTTGTCCCCCTTCTCGCCATCACCTCTCGTTTTTTTTTTTATCGTCTTGATGTATCAACTGCGGACAGGCCAGTAGACCTACCACCTATGCTGGAGTAATTTGTGGCCCTGAGACGTGAACGTTTGTGCGTTGGTGTTGTAGATACTTCTTACGATGATATTGACGTAATCGATTTGTTCAGTTCTCAATCAACGTGCAATGTAATCATGCGGGAATTGTTTGAATGCAGCTGTAAATTTGAGTTATCTTGTTCTCGTGGTTGTACTTCAATTTGTGGGTAATTACGTTATTGCTTGATTGAATGGGTGGGAGGGAGGGGGTACTTTATTCCATCTGTCTTCGATCGATGGAATTTTTCAACGTTTCTAAATGGAGAAAACTGGGGAGAATGAAATATTAATGCCACTTGAATCTTCTCAATGCAGAGAGGCTCACTCAACTTTCATCCACAAAGTTATTTAAATACTTGGTGGAATATTCCTTATTCAACTTTCAACTTTTTGATGCTCCATAAAGCGATGAACTCAATTAGGATCCATTTATTCTCGTGTTTTTTATGCCAACACTCCTCAGTTGGTGGTAGATGGGAATTCATGTGAGAGACAGTTGTTTTCGTGCATCGACGAATCCGGATATTCACATTAGGATGTTTCATTATTGTTTGGGAAGTTTTTCTAGATTTCTAAAATGAAAAGAACTATTTATTCCTGAGGGAAATGGCGAATGTAGGATTTACTTTCATACAAAAATTTAATTTATTTATTGTCTTTTTCTTCTTTTCTTTCTTTTCTGCAGGCATTATTTACTTTCATTGAGAGAGCCTTTACTTTCACTGAGACCATTTTTTATTATTTCAAAGAGATTGGGATTTACTTCAGATCATTTTATGAAGTTATTTGAACAAATATTTCAACTTTTTGATACTTCCTAAACGCGAAGAAATCAATTAGCGTCTATTTATTCTCGGGTTTTTTATGTCCACACTCTTCAGTCCGTAGTAGGGTAAGCTATCCAGTAGATTGACACTCCCTATAGATGGACGAGCTACTTTTGGATAGGAAATTACGCAAAAAAAAAAATGAAATGTGAATTGTTGCTTTGAATTTTCACTAACTGTTGTGATTCTTAACCTCTGAGTGACGATTTTTTTGCGATTAATTTTTTTTTCAATTGCTAAAAAACAAACGTCCATCTACTGGGCGGTTTTCTTAGGCGTCTATCTACTGGGCAGTTCACCCTAGACGAGAATTTATATGAGAGTTGTTTTCATGCATCGAGAAATCGGGAAATTCACATTAGAATAATTTGAAATGATTCACCTAGTTTAGGTATTTGAGGGAACTTTTTTTTTTTATATTGACACTCATTTAAGGATGGAGTATAGGAAAGTTGATTAGAATACTTCATTATTGTTTGGGAAGTGTCCCTAGATTTTTCAAATCAAAAGAGCTATTTATCCCTGAGGGAAATGGCGAATGTAGAATTTACTTTCATACAAAAATGTAATTTACTCATTGTCTTTTTTCTTCTTTTCTTTATTTTCTGATTCTTATAGTTTGGATATGAAGCAATTGAGAACATCCTTCTGTCATCAGTTCGTTAGTCAGTCATTGAGACCTTTTATTATCATCAAAGAGATTGGGATTTACTTCAGATCATTTTATGAAGTTATGTGGACAAATATTTCAACTTTTTGATGTTTCATAAAAGCGAGGAAATCAATTAGCGTCTATTTATTCTCGAGTTTTTTATGCCAACACTCTTCAGTCCGTAGTAGATGGGAATTTATATGAGAGACAATTGTTTACATGCATCGAGGAATCGGGAAATTCAAATTAGAATAATTTGGGATAATGTACATAGTTCAGAAATTTCAAAGAACTTTTTTCCATTAATGCTCATTAGAACCTGGCGTGTAGGAATATTGACTAGAATGCTTCATTATTAATTAGGACGTTTCCCTAGATTTTTTAAATCGAAAGAGCTATTCGTCCCTCAGGAAAATGTTGAATGTAGAATTGACTTTTATACAAAAATATCATTTGTTTATTCCCTCTTTCTTCATTCATAAAGTTTCGACATAATGAAATTAAGAACATTCGTTCATCATCAAGTCGTTAGTGAACCAATTAGTTCCCTTTTGTTATGATCAAGGGATTGGAATGTTCCTCAGGTGTTATAATGAAGTTATTTGAATGAAAATTTCAACTTATTAATGCTCCATAAAACGTTAATTGCGCACTGTCAGAAAATTACCATTGGAATCCCAAGTGAAAACGTTTAGATATGACTAATCCATGTGAAATTTGGATGGCTGTTGTCGATGACAAACCACTCAATTTCTAGAATATGCGATAAATTCAGTAGCGAAGTGGTAAAACGGTTTAAGGCCCGGGTGTACTATCTTTCGAATGTTATCTGGATTTTTTTTATCTTTCGTAATCCAAAATTTTCAATTGAGTGGTACATCATGTAGAAATTCCCAGAAATTATGATAGAATGATTTTTAAAAAATAGAAAAAATTCTGAACTTTTTCAAAGAGCGTTTTTAATTGAGATTCAGAATGAGTTGAAAAAAGTGGAAATTACAAATATCTGATTCGCTGTGGCAAATTATCTATTAGCTGTCATTTTCCATGGTGGATAACAAAACACTAACTCCTCATGGGAAGTGACAGCTAGGTATCTCAATTTTCAAGACAGTGGTATGTAGCCATCTGCCATTTTTATGTGATAAAAGTGTGATTAAAAAATTCTCCAAAATATTACAACTTCTTTCAAAGAGCCTTTCCGTAATAAATGTCTCTGCGCAGTGTGGGAAAAGATTTACGAAATCAGTCTTCCCCTGCATGATATTGGGTGACAGGCCGCCATTTGTCACCCTAAATCAGATACATTTTTCAATTTCTTGTTATTCAACTTATTCTGAATATAAATTAAAAAAGCTGTTTGAAAAAATTAAGAATTTTTTCTACTTTTTTTTGATTGTTCATTCATAATTTTTCAAAACTTCTGCATGATGCAGGACTTAATTGACAATTTCAGATGACGAAAGATGAAAAAAAACATCGAGATAACATTCGAAAGATAGTACACCCGGGCCTTAAGTCGACTTATCTCCCAGTTCAGCTTTTGAGGAATATTTCGGAATCTAAGGGAGATAGCGAAATTTTCGTAATTGCATTTGTTGTAGCCCTCAACCGGCTCTACAAAAAAGGTTATGACAAAAATTAAGCTATCTCCCTCAGATTCCGAGATATTCATTGAAAACTGCTCAATAGTCAAAATTGACTTGTACCACTTTACCACTTCGCTATTGAATTCCAGTTTTCAAGTCCCTACACTATTAGGAAAAAAAAATTAAATTTCAAGAAGACGACAATTCCCCAGTTCATGAAATCAGAAGAGAATTCATACTGAATCCAGTTGTTTTCACGCATGGAGAAGCCGCAAAACTCACATTATAATAATTCGGAGTGATATACGGTACGACGGTTGACATGATCCAGCGACAATCACTGGGAATCGTGGGATCTTCCGGTGTGAGATTTCCGACATTTAGGGAAAAAAGTAAAACCACGAGAGGACTGAAATAAGAAAATTTCAACATTTTTCCCCAGTATATATTTCCACGAATATCTGAAAAAGGCTTTACATACAAGGCATTCGCTCGAATAAATAATCCCCCCCGTAGGTAACGCGGTTCTGTACATATACGTAACACACGTTGGGGATAGAATGTGTCGTACCATCGGGAGACATAAATTTTACGTAAAATCGACTGGAAGAAATGGCATACGCTGGGTCCAGGGGGTGTAGGGATTCTCGACAAATATAAATAATACATATGGGGATGACCAAGATTTCAAAAAGAATCAGAATGTACGGGACAAAAATGGCTGGAGTAAAAATATGCCGATTGTGGGAGAAAAATATGAGGAGAAAACTATGAATATCTTTCGATATTGCTATTGTCCAAAGGATAAAATGTTACATTCACAGTGTGATACTGATACGATTGTCCTTTTTATCTCGCTGTGTACGCCATGACTATCTTTTTTTCAAAACACTATTGTCAACGCAATCGTAGAGTCAAAGTTTCGTTGTATACTCAGATTAATCTGTTTGAGAATGTTGGAGAAAAGCTCGGTGAAAGAGTCATAATATTGGAGGGGCATATCGAGAATGTCGTTCGAAAGTTAATTTAAAATTTATTTATGATCGCAGGGGAGAACGAGCCTGGGCTAGGGCTTATTATGCATGTAAATATGTACGTAGTTGGGTACCGAGCACAATGCTTAGTGCTAGGTGGTGGTGTGCATCAGGAGTGAGGATGAAAAATGTGCAAAAAGAAACATGGAAAATGCACATAAACGGGAGCTGGGCGGCCTATGAATACGCAATGTTAGTGGAATTAGAAATTACAGGGGTGACAATCGACTTTAACTCAGTTTCGAATTTTTTATCGTTACGAAGCAGAAGATAATTATTGACAGGTTAATTACAGGCAAATGACGTTTTAGTTCAACCGATAATCCGTTCATGTCACTGATTTCTATACGCTGAGATGTTGATATTTGTGCGTTGATATTGTAGACATTTCTTACTATGATATTGATAAATTGGTGCAATTGACCATTCAGGAATTGTATAAATGCAGCTGTAAATATGCCATCGGGAGGGGAAGATAATATGACAATTGCACACAAACGGGAACTGGGCTGCCTATGAATACGTAATGTTAGTGGAATTAGAAATTACAGAGGTGAGAATCGACTTTAACTCAGTTTCGAATTTTTTTATCGTTACGAAGCAGAAGATAATTATTGACAGGTTAATTACAGGCAAATGACGTTTTAGTTCAACCGATAATCCGTTCATGTCACTGATTTCTATACGCTGAGATGTTGATATTTGTGCGTTGATATTGTGGACATTTCTTACTATGATATTGATAAATTGGTGCAATTGACCAGTCAGGAATTGTATAAATGCAGCTGTAAATATGCCATCAAGAAGAGAAGATAATATGAAAATTGCACACAAACGAGAACTGGGCTGCCTATGAATACGTAATGTTAGTGGAATTAGAAATTCCTGGGGTGATAATCGAGTTTGACTCAGTTTCGAAATTTTTTATCGTAACGAAGCAGAAGGTAATTATTAACAGGTTAATTATAGGTAAATGACGTTTTAGTTCAACTGATAATCCGTTAATGTTACTGATTTCAAAGTAGACATTTCTTACTATAATATTGATGAATTGGTGCGATTGACCATTTAGGAATTGTATAAATGCAGCTGTAAATATGCCATCACGAGGGGAAGATAATATGAAAATTGCACGCGCACAGGAGTTGGGCTGCCTATGAATACGTAATGTTAGTGGAATTAGAAATTATGAGGCTGATAATTGTGTTTGACTCAGTTTTCACATTTTTAATCATAACGAAGCAAAAGTCGATTATTAACAGGTTAATTACAGGCAAATGACGTTTTAATTCAACTGATAATGCGTAATTTTCACTAATTTCTGTACGCGAAGACATGAACGTTTGTACGTTAATATTATAGACATTTCTTACTATGATATTCATGAATTGGTGCAATGTAAGAATTCAGGAACTGTATAAATGCAGTTGTAAATATGCCATCAAGAGCGAGAGATAACATGAAAAAGGCACAAACGGCAGCTGGGCTACCTATGAATAGGTGATGTTAGTGGAATAAGAGATTACAGACTTGACAATCGACTCTAACTCAGTTTCTAAATTTTTAATCGTAACGAAGCAGAAGACGATTATTAACAGGTTAATTACAAGCAAATGACGTTTTGGTTCAACTGATAATCCCGAAATGTCACTGATTTCTAAATGCTAACGGAGGGTTCTTGACACGTGTAATAACGAACTCTCTTTTTCCTGTTTCTGTAATTTTTTCCATCACAACGAAGCATAAGATAATTATCTAGCGATTACTTACAGACAAATGACATTTTAATTCAACTGATAATCCCCTAATGTCACTGATTTGGAAATGCTAAGGAAGGGCTCTCGATACGTGGAATAATCACAAAATCGATAGAAGCAATGAGGCTTGAACTCCAGCTAAAATAATGCAAATTCAAACCCGGCACTTGGCATTGATAATATCAAGGATCATAAATCAGCTGATTAATAGTACAAACTTGGTAGTCACTGAGCGTGAGATTAGGCGTCGTCCTATGTCGCAAGAGGACTTGACCTTCGTAATGTATCCACAGTTGCGTCATTGTGAAATACCAATATGGGTGAAATGTAATGGATCGAATTACTGGTTCTCCGGGTATTTTAATTTCCGGACAGGACAAGCACTGATGATTTTTTTCATTTTTCATTTTCATTCCACGTTGGCTTGATGATAATTTGACTCCTCTGGGATTAAATGCTCCCGTCGTCGCTGATTGCGACAGGTTTAATCTCCTCATTAATCGTACAAGAATTTTATTTATATTTCAAACGACCAAATAGTCTCATTGAGTAATAACAGGATCAAATTACTTTCCGTTGTCTCTCTCACTCGTGGAATTGGCAGCAGTCCAATAAGTCAAGATACAGTGTCGTGGCATCCACTGGCAAACTATTCCCATAATCAACTGTTCGTAGAATAAATCTCCTCCATCCACTGAAAATTTCACCAGTTTCCAGGCAATTAATGCCAACAAGTTTATTTGCAATGGCCGATACAAACAAGAAACGGGCAACTGTAGTCCACCTTTGCATATCAGAATGTCTAGCCGTTAATTTCCTGTCAATTTCCTTGTGCACAGTACCGGCGCCAGGATTTTAACATCACTGGACGTGATGAAAAGCCCATATATGTAGTTCAGCCAGCCTGAGGAATAACTCAGTTTAACGCCGAGTTTCGAACCTGGTGTATAGCGTCTCAATTTATCACGGCTTTCGCTCAACAGAGAAATGAACTTTCCCCCGTCGTATCTTTGATTTTGATTTGTCAAGTGGAAAATTTATCTACTCCACTCGAACAGAATAAAATTGTGAGCAAAGATAAATCATCAAAGCCAAGAATAATTCCAGAATAAATAGACATCTACCGTTTAAATTGAGTTTCGACGCTTTTTGCAGTATTAGTGCACTTTCTTTGGCAGAATTTTCCGGTACATCGCTTGGTAATTTTTATCAAATTATAGTTTCACTGAAATTTCAAGGAATTTGGTTAGTGAAAATTCACAATTTTATGAAAAATCAATGGAAACTGTAAATTTCGGTTCAATTATTCATGAAAATTTTCAATTATTCCATTCAAAAATTCAATTATTCCATGAAAATTAATAAAAATCAGGAAAATTGTGGTAAGGATGTTCTCAAATTCGCAATTAATTGAATATTCGGCCGAATTTTTTCCTAAATATTCATCTTTTAATTGAAAATCCAAGAAATTCAGGCAATTATCATCTTGTTGCTGTTGAAAAAATACGCTGTTAAAAATTTTTGTCTGCAATTTCCAGTATACTTTTTGGAAATTTTCATCGAATTTAATTACCATTGAAATTTCAAGAAATTTCGTCATTAAAAGTTCAGAATTTCGTTGGAAAAATCAAAGAGAACTGTAAATTTCAGTTTCATTTTTCTCTGAAAATGAGTAGAAAACCAGAAACTTCCGGTAAATATATTCTTGAATTTACAGGACAGTGACACTGAATGTGATTTAGGGGGACAAAATCATGAAATTTCATTTTTTTTCTAACAGTGTATAAAATTCCAATGAAATATCAGGGAAATGTGAAATTTGATGTTTGTTTCTGCTCACATAAAATTCAATTCCCCTCAAATAAAAATGCATTCTCAACAGTGTGTCCTAAAAGTCGTGTTTATTGATTTCGCCTTTCAGGTCGCAACGGTGCGCCTATATCCAGGAAAATCGTTGGTTGGTAGAGCGTCCAATCTGAATCCCAGCAATATCTCGAAGGAAAATGGGGTCGACTCACCGTAAATCCGCAATAAGAGCATCAGTATTGAGGCTAGTGATGGTGGTATCAGTCGATACTCCGTGACTCGTCAAACCCAGCTCCTCCAAATGCCCCTCAGCTTCCCCCAAATGAACAAAGTTTGATAACTCAACGAATAATGCCATCGAGAATAGTGAGTTGAGTGGGAGGGGTGATGGATGACATACGTGGCTCACCGGCTGGACGCCGTTTGTCTCAGATCCTGGATCCCATAGCCCGTCTCACCTCAGATTTTGGCTCAAATTCAGCGCCATGCAGTCCACGATTAGGAATGTCATCCCGGAATACGAGTGCCGAGTCATCATCAGCACAGGAGAGTCCTAGATTACTACCGAGGCATCGATCTGGCTGTAGTAGACAGCCACCAGTGCCACCACCGCGGCCCCAGCGCAATGACTCGCCCATTCACTCAAGAAATTTGACCTCAACATACGTCAACCTGCCCTGTGACAATTCCCACATCGGTAGACGAGACAAGCCCTTCACAGACAGCGTAAAGAGTAACATCGGTTACGTAGAACTCAGGGACAAAGGTGTCAGTGATAAACGTAGTAATTACCGAGGACCAGTGCCATTTACATTCACCTCGGAGTCCAGTGGTCGTGTTGAATACGCTGACAAAAGATTTTACGCCCCACGAGCCGATGACTTTACCACCTACGCTAATTTCGATAATGAACCACACTCGGAAACCTCATCACCGATATTCGAGTCTGGCCAGTCGACAATGGTGTCCAATGTCGACAAAATACTCTCCTCATTTGCCAGTAACAAACAGCCATTTCGGAGGGGTTCAATCGAGCGTGACATGACGTACACCTCGTCGTTATCTGCTGCCACATCCACAAGTGACGAGCAGAGGGAGCGTTTTGATCGTCCAACTGCGTACTCCTCGTCCAAGAGCTTTGACGCCGGTTACTCAGCCACCGTTGAGGAGCTCAATTGGCAGGAGAGGTGTCTTGAACTTCAGCTGGAATTACATCGTAGCAGGAGCCAAGCTACTAGAGTACGCGATATGCTGCGGGAAAAGGTGAGTGCCAGCATTACCTTGCCTCTTTATAAGACCATCGTTAAAATGAAAAAAAATGACTCATGAATGACTCGCTGGTCGAGTTGAAGCGAGGGTTAAACGAATGGTGATGAGTGTTTAAATACTCATCTACGGTCTACGATCTTAATTTAGTCAACCCGGCCGTTACCGAGGGGGGGTAGAGTGGAAAAAGGCAATTTGAGCGCTATCGCATTCCCTGGCTCTTCCAATGTTTTTTAAAACACTTTCCAGCTATCTCGGGGGTAAGTACTCCGGCCCTTTTTTCCTGATAATCTTTTCAGCTTTTTCTCTATTTTTCTTGTTTGCCTTGGGTTCTTCTTCTTTTTTTTCTGTCGTTCTTCGTACTCAGGATTTCCCGTGGGGAGCTATCACTCGGATATTCGATCCGTGACAATGCCGGGAACGGTAGTACTCTGATCCCTGGCCCGCTTCGGGATTGCCACGCGCCCTCTTCCTCCTTGCGGCTGACCGTATGTCTGGCAGTTCTCTTTTCCTCCGGTTATCCCTCATCGCTATTGGATAACAATGGGAAGAATTCTATGCATCGTACTGTCGATGATGGCCCGTTCACGGGAAGATTCGTACTTCATTATATGCAACATCACGCGCGGTGGACGGTTAATGCCTCTGCGGCAGATAAAGCACGCACGTGCTTAGGAGGAGAACACTTCCATTATTTTTCCATTGACTGCCAGAATTTATTAAAAATAGGGGATAGTTGGAGGGAACTGATAGGCGTGAGGGGTGTAGAGAAAAAAAAGGTTTAACTTTCGGGGACATGACGCTCTAGTGAGTGCAAACTGAAACTCGATGATTTGGGCAACAATTTTCAGTGTTATTATCACAAATTTCCAATGACACCGACACTAATTTGCAGGGATCATCACTATTTTCAAGGAACCCATATCTAATTTTTGGGAATCTGTCACAACATTCCAGTGGTGAAAATCACTGGTGATTTCGGGGTCGTTCTCGTTAGTATCTCTGGATTTCTGGAAATCAGGGACATGTTCCTGAAAATTAGTAATATATCCCTGAAAATCAATAGTATATTCCAGCGAGAGTGTTCGGGGTTTTTTTTTACTCGCCTGGAGTTGGCGTCCAAGCCAAAAGCGAGGACAGGCCAACCACACGAGTAGAAAACCCCATGGCACTACACCGTTAAAAATTTTCGTCTCAATTTTCCGTGCCAAATTCCGGAAATTTTTATCGTGTTCAAGTTCCACGGAAATTTCAGAAAATCTTGTCATTGAAAAATCAAATATTCCATTGATTTTCTGTGCAAATGATTCAGAAATCAATAAAATAGTTGATTTTTCAGTTCAATTATTCTGTTAAAATTCAGAAAAATCAAGAAAATCGAGGGAAAAATTGAAAATTCATGTCATTTTGTTTCTGAATATTCATGTGCCACTGAAAATTCAATTAAGTTGTGCAATTTCCGTCTTAATCCCACTGAAAACTCATGAATTTTCGTGAATTCTTTTTCCCTAAATTCGATTTAATGTCACTCTCATGAGAACTACTAATAATATAATATCTTCCATGAAATTTCAAAAAAATTCCCACAGTGCACTCATAGGCAATATCTTCCCGTAGTGGTTTTCACTTTTATGAATTTAGGAAAGGGCCAATACCAATGCCCGGACGAGGGAAGCCAAGGGACGTGCGGAAATCGATATTTTCGCCACAAGGCCGAAAGAACCTTTTCCGAGGAATGCAATCACTCGAGTCAGAAAGGTTGTTTTCGACCAAGTGAAGACCATAACTTTATTTATTAACGACTAGTGATACCGCGAGACATTTCATGAGACATCACGAGACAAAACTTTGGAGAGATGATCTCGGTCTCAATGAACATGGAAATCTTTGCTCCCGTCTCAGGCTCAAAATGCGCAATATTAACTCCTCTCGTGAGGACTCCGAGTCAATTTATTTTATCTCGGTTTCCAGTCTTTCGCGTTTTTTATATGTAGGAAAACCGAAACGAGACAAACCGAGACACAAATCGAAATTTTATATTAAAAAACACGAAAAACTTGAGACCGAGATGAGATAAATCGACTCGGAGTCATCACGAGAGCAGTCGATACCTCCGTATTTCGAGACTGAGACGAGAGCAATGATTCCCGTGTTCGGCGAGAACGAGATCATCACTTCAAAGTTTTGTCTCGTAAAGTTAAAGTTTTGTTTTGTGTGATGAAAAATTTGTTTTCCTCTGTGCAACTTCAAGAACAGTGATATGCCCAATTTGCCGGGCATTGTTCTTATTCTCATCATTATTATTATTATATTCCCTTATTAATTCCAAAACTGTTCTTTGTGCGCCCTTCAATAGATGAAATATTCATCCTAAAAATACAGATACAGTGCAGTGGCTGTACGTTACCGCCAAAGTAACACCCAAGTATACCCCCCTTTTTTGCGGCAGTGTGAGTGTATAGAGGCGTGAAACAGGAGTTCCGGTTAAGAGCCGGGGCCGCTGAGTATCGCCTTAATCTTCGTTAGAAATTCTAATTTGCAAGTCGGCAGTGTGTCGAGTAAAGTCCCACGGAGTCGGTGTAGCCCTACACCGAGGGTAAAAAAGACGGTTTTACATATTTTCATCCTGATGATGAATAAAACTAAATGAGTTTCAGCGCGTACACCAAATTTTCGTGTTTTTAATTTTCTCTCTAATACGCGTGCTCCATGGAGTTTAATTAAAAGCACAAAATTGCCGTAATATTCGCAAATGGCGCCTTAATTGCCATCACCGAGGATGTAATGTATTTTGAGTATCAATTTTGTAACGTATGGGGAGTATATGTGGGGTTAAGTACAGTGGCATACGCCCACTGGTGTCATTAATACCGAGAGGCATGAGCAAGGACCAGCGAATAGACTGAAAAGCTCCTGGGAGCCATATCATTCGGTCACCCGTTACATTACCGTGAAATATCAGCTATTATCTTGATTTGTACGTACCAAGTGTGTCCCTTACCGCCACCGAGGCGGGATGCTGTGGGGGGAGCCGTTAAGTTATCATTTCTATTACGATCTGTATTATGGTATTTCTTGAGCTGGAGCCATTCTCCTTCTTCATGTCTTGGACTCGTTCTCGACGATGCAATAGGTGATACTGAGCACTCAATGTTGTCGGTGGATGATGCATCGGTGAGAATGGGACATCCTGCTGCTCCGAAGATTGATCGGTTGAGTGGTTCTCCCTTCGTATCAGTTTTGGTGCACCGAGAGGAGTCGGGGGGATTTTTTGGGAGGGGATTTTCGGAATAATTTTCGTGTGACACTGTGATTTAGGTGCCGAGCGATAGCAAGGCGTAAACAGAGAGATGAACGGTTCTAGTTTTCAGTAAACATCTCTGAATTTCAGAACTCTGTGCACTGATAGAAGGGATTAGTTGTTGTTAACAAATGGAGTTATTGGGGGCTAGGGTCTATTCGGTCTCACCAATGTTCATTCGTTAATAGTTGACAAATGCATATTTGAGGAGCCTTGTTTGACTCGACTTTCACCTTTCAAGTGAACCATTTGTTAACTAGTAATTAATATTTATTTGGGCATATTCAACTTTTTCTTTTGTTAATAGTTAACGAATCTCGTTTGGAATGAGTGAATCATTCTATCAGTGTGGTACGGAAATCTATGAGAGAACAAAAATCCTGGAGATAAGTAGAATTTTTCACGTATTTAAGAGAGTTTTCCGAAATATCAGAGAAAAATTTCTATTCTCAGTCGTTTTTAGTCCGATGTATAATTCAGTAGTGAAGTGGTAAACCGGTTTAAGTCGACTTATCTCCCAGTTGAGTTTTTGAAGAATATTTCCGAATCTAAGGGAGATAGCGAAATTTTTGTAATTAGATTTGTTGTAGCTCTCAATCGGCTCTACAAAAAATGTTATGACAAAAATTTTGTTACCTCTCTTAGATTCCGAGATATTCACTGAGAACTGGTCAGTAGTCAAAATTAACTTGTACCGTTTTACCACTTCGCTACTGAATTGTACTTAAATTGAGGCAAATTTTCTCTTATTTTGGGTTTTTAATTCATGAGCATTTTCACTCAATAGAATTCCAAAATTTTAAACAGCAGGGAGAGGAGAATTCAGTAGCGAAGCGGTAAACCGGTTTAAGTCGATTATGACTTTTGATGTGTTTTTGATGAATATCTCGGAACTTATAAGAGATAGCAAAATTTTTCTCATGACCTTTTTTATAATCCACAATTGGCTCTACAAAAAAGGTAATGACAAAAATTTTTCTATTTCCGTTAAATTCCGAGATATTCGTCAAAAACTGGCCAAAAGTCAAAATCGACTTAATCTGGTTTACCGCTTCGCTTCTGAATTGCCCATTAACTTGATTGAAAATTCAAGAATGTATTTACCGAAATTCCCCGGGTTTCTATCAATTAACATGGCACAATCGAACTCCACTCTAACAGCTTTCATTTTCTTCGTCAAATTGTGAATATTCATTGACGAAATCCCTTGAAATTTCAATGGAACTACGAAAAATTTCTGGCAATCTCTTTTCCTCTCAGCCCAGAATCCTTCTCATGTTCGAATTCCATTAGCATAACGAATTATTGAATACCCAGATTGAATGGAATTTTGAGCCATTGTCCTGGAGGATCGATAATCCTGCGGCCACACAATGTTGAAGAAACTTGTCTCCCTCCAGTTTCCAGAATACCCTCGACGTCTCAATCCGATCTTTTATGTTGTGCAGCGAAAAACTTTTGGACGGTTTTGCACAAAAAGCCCGTCGCGTCGAGCCAAGACACCCACCCATGGCTCGGATAGAAGCGAACGGTGTAAAAGAGGAGTAGCACGACAATATACTCCATCCTCGCGGGGCGACGAACAAGCGGCGCCCCGACGGCTTGGCGTCGTTGAAACTTCCTGCACCAATACAAGATAGCCTGCGGCATCACCAAAATATATATGTTGTTACTGCAGTGTTAAATACTGGTGTGT